TCGAGGCGGACACGCTGCAGGCGCCACAGGGCTCCCTCCGCCATAAATAGAAGTAGCGATACACACAAGAACCGAAGAGGCGAGAGTGCATTGAAGAAGTGGGTGCATGGAATGATTGAGGGCTCTGTCGCATCGGCAGAGCCATACTTCCCGTGCCGTATGGTTCGTGGTTGGGCGAAACCTGTGCACTATTGGTCGCAGGTCTGTAATCGGAGAATACTTCAAAGATGCAAGCAACGCACATAGTTCTGCAAATAGACAGGTGTTTTAAATGTCCAGCATCATGATAATAGATGCAGTGTGTTGTACATGTCAGGTGAGTTGGGCTGTCTTAGGGCTGTGCCGGAAGAGCCTTGTCCTCACCATGGTGGGAGAGTCCACGCTGGTAACTGTGGTTATCTCGGCTGTAAAATGTATCGGTCTTGCGGCGGCCTCTCGGCATTCAACAGGTCACTCGACAATCGTTGATAACCTGATGCCATGTGCTCGTTACCACATGTTCTGTCTCACATCATCGCCATCGTATCTCCAAAATCTTGCAGTGCCTCCTGTCTCTTACCTAGTCTTGTGTGCTTTTCGCACGGCCGGTTCTGGTCGTCGAACCCAAACCCATTCTCGTCTCCCTCAAAATCCTCAATGAGATGAGACTCAGGATTCTTTTCCAAGTCATGTGCATATAAGCCGGGATCATTCGACTGGTTGCAATGTCTGAGCAAATACCACCATCGCCAGGCCGCTGTCGCTATCGCCGCCACCACCATTACCATCGTCCACCCACCCGAAGTCAAGCAAGCACTTACAGAACCAGACGCCTCCCCCACTCCTTTCTTTTTACAATTTCATTAAGTATTCAACTAAACCATAATCCAAAAAGAGTTCGCAAAGCACATTGGCCTACTACATCTCATCCCTGAGTGGACCCAAGGGAAGACGTAATCCGCAACCCACTCTGAGGTGAGATTGGCCGGGGCTCGAACCCGGGATCTCTCGACATCGTGTGGTGACGAGCGAGTGCCATGCGCCAAGTAGGCCACCTACGGTGTCTTCGACGACGACGAGAAGGAAACTGATTGATGGGAGAGGCGGCGGGGGAAGTGTGGGAAGGGCTAGAACAGTTGGGAAAGAGATGGGAAAGTAAGGATGAGGTATGCGGAAGGAAAGAGATAGACGGGGAAGGATGGTGAGGGTGTGGTGTGGTGGCGATGTTGAAACGAGAAGGAGGATGGCCCGAGACTGCCAGGTGAGGGACATGGTCGAAGTAGCCGCCAGGAAGCAAAGAGCAGGAGCACAGGGTTCGAGAACGGAAACAGGGCAACAGCGAGTTCAGAGAAGAACGGGGGAGGCACGGTCAAGCGGTATCATATAAGGTAGCAATGGAAAGACCAGCACTAGAGCACCGGACCGCTTGGACGAGACAACGCGGGGCTAAATTGCACGAGGCCATGGGAAACTGTTCACGCGAAGTGTCTAGGTATAACACTGGATGGAGGGCGAGAACATAGAGGGCAACGTGATGGGAATTCAATAAGACAGGGGATGACTTCAAGGTTGAGAGCAATATCTTTTGGCTGGAGAACGTCAAAAGCCAGGAACAGAAACACCCGCGTTCGATTTGAATTTCCCTTATTGAAGCCCTCGTTTAAGCTACTATCCGTAGCGCTCAGGAAATATAGAGACAGCTATGTCCGTGGCTCATATCGTGTGGTGACGACTCGGGTGCCTCTGTAGCCTAATGGGTACATGCGGTGTCATGACAACTTTTTTACATCCTCAATTGAGTAGGGTCTCTGGTTCGAGCCCCTCTCATGTGTTTTCTTTTGGGTTTTCTTTGCCGCTGACCTCTGGGATCTTTGTTATTAACCTTTACAAATTTTACCTTACTGTCGGCTAGAAACACCTTGAGATCTTGGCGTGACAGAATATACTTTTCACTGCCCACTTTTGCTGTACATGTAGATGTATGTCTTTCTCAATGAGATACAGTCAGCCCCTGAAGCACAATAGATTCATTCGCGTAACCCGCATAGCTTGGGGAAGTCAAGCCGAAAGACTTCAGATTCAGTGTCCAGCAAGAGCTATCCTCGGCTGAAATCTTTCTAATTTTGACGAGGCGAAAGACGTGATCGACGATGTCTTCAATCGGCACTCCAGCTTCTCTACCAAGGCTACACCTACCGAGGTGGGCCCTTGAGAGGCCAAGGCCCGTCTCCGAAGGTATTGGGTTAGCAACGGAAGATCGTACATGCATTTACTCAACGATTGGCATACGCTATTTCAGGACACGACCAAACACTCTGCTGTGACGAAATCTGAAAAAAAAGGCTCCTCGAACGTTCTCTACATCTCAATCTCTGACAACTGCTTCCAGTATCCCTAGCTTTGAACCCACTGATTATTCCGTCGATATAATCGTGAATGAGAACCAATATTACGAGTTTCGTGGCACTCTGTAACCAGAAATAGGTCTTAAATAAGGTAGCTAGAAGAGTGTTTCCATTCTGTTCTGATAAAAGTACTATGATGCTTCACTGAGGTGAAAATTATCCTTTCGTGTCTGTACACTAGAGTTAACTTAAGAAATAGGAGGTATCGTATCTCGAGGGTGCGGAATACGGAGAGTGAAGTGGCCAACGCACTGCTTGGAGAACACAACCAATCATACCCGCACGACAAGACGATTGGTTATCGCAGCGTTCCATGATTGGTTGGACCAACAGGATCAACCGCAACATGTCAGCAGAGTTGCCATGTGAGAGAGGGGCACAGCAAAGCGCTAGAAATCTTGCTGCTGCAACGAGCAAACCCAATCTGTTGAAGAGCCACAGAAAAGCGACCATTAGAAGTATCGCCCCCTTTCAAGTCACAATTGGAGATAGTAAGTGCAATCAGAAGGCAGTTGAGGACTATACGCCGGAGTACTTCACTCAACGACACGTCACCAATCTTGCTATTGCCTTTCATCGCGGCCAATGACCGAACATCGGATGACTACCAGCTTGCGGTCCTTCCTATATCAATCGCTAGATCCAGAAAAGAAAGAAGTTCGCCTCATCGAAATAGCACCTCTGGAGACAGAAGATCCGGGGTCTACGGCGGACTTACCCATTCGCTGTCGTCTGAAGCACGCCAGCCTCAACGAGAGGCAATCATACGTGGCGGTTTCATACGCATGGGGAGATGCCGAGATCACGAAGGACATCCTAGTGGAGGACCAGTGGGTTCAAGTTACCACAAACTTAGAAGCAGCTCTGAAGCAATTGGCTTCTCGACGAATTGGCGAGAACCTCGGATCAACCTTTTGGATCGATGCCTTGTGTATCGACCAGCAAAACGAAGCAGAGAGAGCTCACCAGGTGTCTTATATGAGAGAAATCTACCGCTACGCTACCAAAACCTTTGTTTGGCTCGGCCTGACAAGCTTGGACAGTGATCTGGCAATGAACACTCTTTTCGAATTAAACAAGTTGGTAGACTCGGGGGCTTTTGCTGTCATGTCATGGTCCGAATTCCCATTTACTGAAATCGCCGTCAATCCGACTGTCGATAGAGTCCAGGCCGTGCTCAGAGGGATACTCGGAGAGCTTTGTCACAACAAGTCAGCAAGATTGAACGCTATCGGTTCTTTATTCGAGCGAGCGTGGTTCCAGCGCGTCTGGGTGATTCAGGAACGCGTGCTATCAAAAGACTGTGTGGTCTGTTGCGGTGATACTTGGACCTCTTGGGATGCATTCTATAACGGATTTTGGGTGCTCTGTGGTGTGCGCGACTATTTGAACATTATCGGCGCAGGCACGGGGAGGCGCGACAGCTCCACGCTGGTGGCTTTTCTTACAGCGGCTCTCGATAGGGTTACTCCAGTGGCCTTCACTCGTCCAAACTCTTCACTCTTCGCCCTTTTCTCTTTACTCTCAAGAATGGCAAATAAGGCTCAACTCCAGGCCTCCGATCAACGAGACTATGTCTTCTCGCTGTTAGGCCTGATTAGCCCGGATTTGAGCCCGTTCATTCCAGTCCAGTACAACAAGGATTGGCAAACGATTCGGACAGAGGTAGCCAAAGCCTGTCTGATCTACTACGGCCCGAGAATCCTATCATTTGCAGGGCTAGGGGGGGTACACAGCTATTCCGCGGGTATGAATCTAGGCAAACCGTCATGGGCACCCGACTGGTCCTCGAAATTCCTGGCGCAGCCGCTACACGTCCCATCCATCTTTATGGTCCGAGGCCAAAATAGAGAAAGAGCATACACGGCCTCCGGATCACTCTCACAGTCTCTATCAGCGGCATTCTCGGATAAGAATCCATTCAATACGTACTCGCTATCGTTGAAGGCTATGAAAGTCGGCAAGATCGTCAAACAAGGAGCGCCTTTCGTAAGATTGAATGGGTTGGACGGTGAGGCAGATAGTCTTCAACAGTCATTGTTTATCAGATGGCTCGACGATCTTGGTTCCACACTGGCAGGGACTAATACAGTCTACAAAACCGATGAAGCACTGGGAGAGGCGTTGTGGAGAACTCCCATCGCTGATCGAGAGTTTGCATTCAACTGGGAGACGGAAAGGGCATCTGGTAAAATGTTCACGTCATACCAAGCTTTGAGACAAGGAAAGCATTCCGAGGGCATGAAGTACATGAGTGTTGCCCTTGCCAAACTCGTTGGGAGATGCCCTTTCGTAACCGACGGAGGATACCTCGGACTTGCGCCAATGTCAGCATCAGTAGGCGATGATGTGTGGATAATTATTGGCGCAGACGCACCGTTCATCACTTCGACCCGTTCACGTACTTGTACAACACATTCCCAAATTGTTGGCGAGGCGTACGTTCATGGCATGATGGATGGCGAGCTCCTGCAGGGAACCATAGAGCTACAGGCACTTAATCTTACGTAAATCGATCTTCTCTCATCATAAGATACGTCTCGTTTTGATTAATATCATTCAGTCGTGTATTATCGTGTAGTTATACATGAACATGTTCGTCAAATCATGAGCTAATTAGTGCGCAACCTGCAAGCCGCGAAGAGAGATACTGGCTCTCACAGTCGCGCCAGATCCGACATCGAAGCTCTCCTCCTTCACCAAGCCAGGCGCATGAAGAATATCCTGGAAAGGAATCTCAACAGCACCAGTCTCGTCAGCCTTGTTGAGCAGAGAGATCTTGAAGTTGGCAGGGTTGGCGAGCAAGTCTGCCGTCACAGGGATCCTGAATGCCTGATCGAAAGACGGGTTGAAAATGTCTGTTCCCGGGCTGTACGTCTTGGCGGCAGTGCGGAACTCCTTTGCGCCCCACGTCACCTTGATACTGGGGTTAAGTTCGTCGCGCTGGCCCTGCAATCCGAGGGCGCTGGCTATGAGGACCGTTGCGAGACCGACGATTTGGTGCTCATTCTCACTTCGAGTGGATGTGATGACTTCAGCGTTGTCCACAAAGTTATAGAACTTTGCATGGACGACGATCTTGGCATCAGTAGGCTCGTCCTTGTGGGTAAGAGCCAACTCCTGGGAGCCGCCATTGAGCAAAATGTCCTTGACCGTAGTAGTCGCGATACCAATATCGTCATCGCCACCGAGGTCATCATCCTGGACATCAATAAAGATGCGCTGATCGTAGTCTGCGACGAGGAAGTCGTGGGTCTCGTTCCACTCTGGGTCGTGGTCATTCTTCTTAACAGATGTGCGCCACTCCTCCTCAGCACCAACGTTCACCTTAGCGTAGCAGTCGGGGACATCCTTGACAATCTTGGCCAACAGTCTCTTGGCGCCACTCTTCTTTGGGCCGTTGATACCAATTGCTCTCTCAATGGTAAGGCGAAGAGCGCCCAAATGAGGCAGGTATGTTCTAAAGTAGTCATTGTTGCTGTCAAGCTTCACAAGGTAACGGTTGGGGAGCACAGCCATTGAGGCGATGATGTCCAGAATGACCTTGCGCACAGCCTTATCAACCAAGGCCCAGTCTGCGATGTTTGCAGCATTGGTGAAGTCGAGTTTGAGTTCTGGTGGGTTGATGAAGGCGACTTGCGCAGCTCCAATCTTAATTTTCAAGTCAGCACTCATACCAGCATCATTTATCTAAGAAGTCATGTAAAAGTGACATACCAAGGGGATGATATTTGTTAGAGGTGCAAGCAGGATGGAAAGTCTGCCTTTCAGATGAACATGCTCGATACCCTGTCGTCGTCTGCTTTAGCTATGGGCGAGTCAAGCGGTCATCTTTGTACCAGGGTCTTACCAGTTTGGGCACCATCTTGCCATCGAGCTCGATGTCGCTCTTTCCTTCCCAGATCACGTCCATGTCAAGCTTGATACCGCCGTTGTCAACCTTGTGGACGTCCACTTCTGCTACCCGCATGGGAACAGTTCCGAGGTCCAGCTTGACGAACTTGAGGCTCGCGAGGGGGCCAGGAAGCATCGTAGCGAACATGGGCTCCACAATCTCCTTTACCATCCTGCAGCCGGCAACATTGATGTTTGGCCATAGCTGCTCGATGATATCGTTGAGGAATCCTGACGGGATGTTAGACACAACATGCCGAACAAAGAAGTACTGTAGCCGGGGAATGGGTCCGTTGTGCCCTACCTGCTGATTCGGTGCCTCCAGAGGCGGTCAACTTATCTACGATTCCTGCCATTCTGAATAAGGATGCTGAATTCAGAAAAGTGAATAATGCAGAGGAGAGCAAAGCGGTGTTCGTCGATGAAAGACCAGAGGCCTTGAGGAACAATGATGATATATCAATGGGTCACCGCGAGAGTGGGTCAGCCCGTTTAGAGGGTGGATCAATCAGGGGAATGTCAAGAACACTCCAGCTGAAGCCCAACATCAAAGGGGAAATTGATGGGTGAGCGCATTTGATGCCCAGACTACGCGGTGGCTTGTTATTCGTGTTCCTTGGCAGTGAACATGGAAAGTGGGTTGACGTCACTTGTTAGACTGCGGAGATCACTGGATGTCATACAAGCTTGCTTGGCATAGTTTGCCCTTGAGCTCTATCATTGGGCCTGTATCCCTGCCCGCGCGGGGTTCTGCACTCAGCCGCTGACACACCGCTTGTCGACCCCAGTTCCAGGGAGAACTTGCTTCGATGTCTGGATCAATGACAGCTGTCTTGGATATTGCAGGATCCTCCTGAGCACCAGTCGTGGAGAGACGGGGAGTGGCTGGTGCTGCAATTCGGTGGCGTCGCGGCATGATACGTGGACACGCTAACAGCGCTTCAGACACGCAGCGGGACCATTTTACAGGTGAGTAGATGAACCGTTGAAGGCTAATAATAGGGTATGATGCCAAAGACTTCGGTCTAGACTATGCGATAAGAACAAGGACTTTATAACTTCGCGAAGCTCGTGTTTCATTAGGGACTTTTTTTTGGATCGCGTTCAACATGTGCATTGAATTTTACACACAGCCACTCAACGAGTCTCCTCGTCGTGGTGTTTATACGGCCTTACTGACAATGGTCTACAGCTCATCTTTTTCCACTGAAGACGACTTGCGTAGGGCGGAAAAGAAAGCCCGCACGTCACCCATCCACAGATCGGGGTGACTGACAGCTGGGAAATGCCCGCCAACTCGATGTCTCTGGAGAAACACCAATTTAACGGATCTTTAGACCCATTCTCTTGGCTGTCGAAAGTCAATTTTGATGTCTGGACACACGTGTTCCACAATTGATAGAACTTACTGCGAACCCAAAGTTGCCAACGTCAGGGAACGGGCCATCGCCCATACTCCATTGAGAGACCCCCGTGGGCACGTCTGTGTGGGGAAATTGTGACTAGCATAGGTGTCAATGATTACGACGCTTGCAAGAATCACCCTCAAAGCGGGATTGCAAAACTGGAATCCCAGGTAAGCTCGAATAACTGCGTATGGCCCCGGTATATACATCATCATCGCATCCGTGAGGAGCTCTTCCTCGGTGTAAGGGTAGTCATTGGAAGTGGCGTAGTTGACATTCCAGAACCAGCCAAGCAGACCAATCGGACTATCAGCCAGAGCTTGGGATACAGTCAGAGGTTTCTATCTATGAACTACGGAATGTGCCCAACGGGAGCTAAACCATTTGTCGATAGATTTCATGTAAAGAGTTTCCTCGTCGGTGGTGTGATTCTGCCCCAGTCGAGCCCGGTCTTCAGTGGTTGGCTCAGCGATAAAGAAGTCGCACATGTGACCAAATATACTATCACGGACATCCATGGTCATTCACATTCCGGTGACCCATCCGAGGTCCGTAGTGACTATTCCTTACTTTTCGTAACCGAGCTGGTGCATCAATGTGTCGAAGGCTGATCCCATTTCGCGCAATCCTAGCCCGGGGTGTTCTAGCTCCGGACTGAATCCAAAGCCAGGTAGATCCGGTGCGACGATGTGAAATGACTGTTCGTAATTTTCTGACAAAGGCTTGATGACTTTTGACCACTCTAGATTCGTTGATGGCCATCCGTGAAGGAGGAGTAGTGGTGTTGCATTGGAGTTGGTGGAGACATGATGGATAAAGTGCAGCGGTACAGGATATGGGTGACTCTCGCCGCCCAGGACAGTCGTTGCATAGTGATCGAAATCGTCGTTGAGCCTTTTCTCAACTCTATTCTAATCGTATTGGTTGATCCAGTACTCCGCAACGCCGGTCAGATTCCCAGCGGAAGGCCCTTCAGTATCCCATTCTGAAGACAGGCCATGTGTAGGTCTATAAGATCGTACTTTCTGCAAGGTACCATACAGAAAGGATTCGTGGACGTGAACCTTGAATCTTTGGACTTTTGGGTTCGATGGAAAGTCGAAATTCAGTGTAGGTCGATCAGATGCCTGGTAACTAGTAGCTGTGACCATCAACCACAATAGAGATTGGACAAGCATGGCAAAGGAACGCACATAGTTGTTCGCAGAATGTGAGAGCAGACGTAGAAAATACTTCCTCGTCTAACAGACTAGGGGTTGACTCTATACCCTCACTTTGTGAAGGTGGTCAATTTCGTTCTCTTTCCTTAAGAGTCTCCAAGAAAGACAGCACGTTCATGCTTGCTCTCGAACTCCGTGGAGCTGGATCGATTACAAATGGTGTAGTGGTCTCATTTTGCAGGATCATTTCCTTTTCATTAGAGGACTCTTACAAAATCTTACAAATCCACATGGTCTATCGTAGCGGCTCTCTTCAATCGATCAGCGAGGGCCTTGAAGTTTTACGGTGCAACGGGGTATGGAGCACTCGGTCATGAAAGGTTCCCGACTCGGTCCCGGTAAAGTTTCGGAAGTCCCACAGTGTTGCCTGATGACCTCTGAAGGATGCGACCTGCGGGGCCGTAGACGGTTCAAAAGTGCCTATAACAATATGAGCAGGATGTCTTATTGACTAGGGGGCCCATTCAACCGTTTAATCGCTTGAAGACCCTTGTGACAATATCTGGAGATAGGACTGCACAGCCATCAACTGCCGAGTTGAGGGTAGTTTCATGACTTTGCTTAGGTCCTCACTCAGGGCTCCATATCACTCTAGCTACTGACTCTAGACTTGCTCAAATGTTGCGATCCTTTGAATGAGTTGATTAAAATTGAATACAACACCTGATTGGATCGACACTGAATCAAGCTCCATGGCGTCATCAAGATATTGCAGAGCGCTTAGGTCATACAGAATTCTAGGACGTGGGTGCGCCACTCTGCAAATCAACCTGGGTAGAGGTTCTTTGACAAGAACAGGGTACACTGAAATTCTCTTCCGGGATATGCAGGCGACTTATTACGTATCAGGCTTGTAAGTCTGCCTAACAAGGCTGACAACTTTGGTGCAATGATTTCGCGACGTCGCGATTCAACCTTCGCCGATTACTCATCGGCTGGATCATCGGCTGGAAGAAAGGGGCATGCCATCAGTTGAAGATGAATTAACATAGTCAACGGCTGGAGTAAAGACACTTGGCTACAAAAGCGTGGCTGTCATCCTTAAAATCGGTGCTTGATGAGCTGTGATCATCATCAACTACTATACTCCACCGCCTGACTTCAACTTATCATCATCAAACTTTCAAAGCTACTGTTAGCACCCTCACATAGTCGAGATTCAACATGAGATACTCTTTGGAGACCATCTTCACCTTCGTGCTTCTGGGGAGCACGACTGCATCTTTGGGACCGCTCCGACTCTCCCGAATCACCTACCCTTCCAACGTTGGATGCGGTGAAGTGAACGTCTTCTATACGTGAGAACCGCATAGATCCCTTAAGAAGTAGAGCGTTCGACTAACAACACACAGGTGACTTCCTGCCTATCATTTATACGTGATTGCGGAGCACTATGACCCTGTTGATGTTGACAAGGAACTCCGGAATGACACCGCCGCACTTGTCAGGGCCGGCTTCAATGTTCACGGTACAATGCTTTCGTACCACCAAGTGCTGATCACTTACTGATAAACATTCGTCACAATTTTGTTTCAAGGCCCGGACCAACCAATTACAAATATCGCTGACCGAATGAACGGCACCCACTGGGGTGTGACTGGCGTGGGGTTCGGCCAAAGGGGCGCGCCTATTTTGGACGTTGTCACTCGTTTTGAAGGTATTTGCTTCTGGTAGTTTACATGAAAAACCAGCTGTTGATGCTTACCGCGAACTTTAGATAATCTTCATCAGTTTCGCGAGAATGCGCCGTTGACCCCGACGGTATTCAACTGGGGTCCTACCACGCTGGCCGCCTCTGTGATCCGACATGTACCGTTGAAGGAAGACTGTTCCAACAAGCCTGGAAAATTGATTGTAGACACCGACTAATAGTGCGGATTGAGAAACCAAGACACTGACTTTCCACCATCAAGGCTTATGAGGAAGTATGCCCTCCCGAGCTATGTGAGAAGGTGACCGTCGTCACATCTGGGAGCCTTGAAGAGCTTCTGAAGGGCATTGAACACTAAATTCGCGCAACTGCCGAGGACAGCAAAAGTCTCCGGCACTGTCTCAGCCTTGGGTGTGTAGAGGAATATTCAACATATTTGGCACAACACTCCGAGAGTATTTGCGATGCAGACGGGGCGGAGTGTTCGACAACTCAATGATTTTGTGGCTCTGATTTCTCGCTGTTTGTTCTATTGTACAGATTTCTCTTCGTTCTCATCTCATGATGGACACATTCAATGGTTGATGGTCTAACACTTGGGGCGTACCACATCATGGTTGGCAACCACTGCCAAAGGTATCCTGAGATGCTTACATCCCCCCCCCCCCCCAAATTAGAACAGGCCTGTTCTGTAGCACTGTAAATACAAAATGCTGCTTCACTTAACTTTGCGAAGCCTACACGTACCTGTGGGCAAGAGTGCGGTACGGGTGTGGGTTTTCTCGGAAAGATGAGGACGACGCACAGCTTCTCTTGTGCTCCAACGGCTGACGCGGAATGGTCTATGATGTAACATGAAGTGAAATGTAGATCTACATCACAACCGCAGGAGCATTGTCATCCTAATGGTTGTAGGATATTTATCTACATGACTGTGAGAGATCCGGCCGCTGGAGATTTACCAGCTTGTCTTCATCTTCCCGAGCTTGTAAAATGTCCCGCAATAGGATCCATCGCCGCATGGATAAGCAAATCTCTAGGATCGTTGAGACACGCGGAGCCTAGGAATATCACTAGACTGAACTTGGTAAGCCACATGGGGAGGCATATGGCAGAGCTGGACTGTAGTCGCTCGAACACGTATCTGGAGGCCTCCGTCAAAAATCGCTCTCATTAAACACGCCCCTCACGGGCCATGTGCCGCATCTCAAAATCCCTCATACGATGGCTTTTCGTACACAACAAACACACAAATAACTGGCTTTCGAAAGGCCATGATGTTCAGATGTACGAGGGAAATTTTGAAAGGCAGCAACCGCTCTGGGTTGTATCTTGAGGCCGCTACAACACCCCGTCCACTCAGGTGCTAGTCTGCTCGTGTCGCCACACTCCCCTCATTTCGAGACCGAAAGTAAGCATATGATGACATTTTCTTCATTGTGGTTCTTGCGGATATAGTTCGTCTCATATTTATGCTTGGTTGGGAAAATGCCCTTGCACGCGGTGTACATGTACCCTCGGATGCCCGGAGGCAGCAGACATCTGACCTTTTCCGAAGCTGCCGGCTCTGAGGCTAGTCTCATCTCACGCGATCTTTTGCCCTTGGAAAATAGAACTCTTCCACAACCTGTAGAGTCACCGCAGGTCAAGGAAGCAATTCGAAAGAAAATGTTTTCATTGTGGCTCAATTGCCTTCTCATCTTCGTACCCATTGGCGTCTGGGCGTTTTGGTCTGATAAAGCTCCCCTGGTCATATTCATCACCAATGCCCTAGCGGTGGTTCCACTGTCCTCTTTGCTCACTGGAGCTACTGAGATGATTGCATCCGATGCGGGCGATACGGTCGGAGCTTTGCTAAACATAACAATGGGAAACCTCGTGGAGCTGATTTTATTGTGAGTTAGTCTGGCATATGGCCACAGTTCGCTGACCAAAACGATGATAATTGACAATTCTCCAGCATGTAAGCGTGCCATTTATTGCTCCCATCAAGTCGTTTGATCGTACTGATGTCCGCAGCATCGCCCTCAAACATAATCAGATCCAAGTCGTTCAAGCGTCAATCCTTGGTTCAATGCTTGTCAACTTACTGCCAATTCTTGGCACCGCTCTATGTGTCTGCGGAGTATCGCAACAGGAGCCGGCCTTGGATACTTCAGGGACTCAGCTCCTTGGCTGCCTCCTGTTTGTTTCCGTCTTTGTTCTTCTGATACCGGTGAGTGAGCGACACCTACCTTCCATCTGTTTGAGAACCATATTCATAAACACCAGGCCGCTTTCAGCCATACGTTTCAAGCACGCGATGGCGCGAATGAAGCCATGTTGACAATGAGCAGAGCTTCATCCTTTGTGGTTCTGTTTATTTACATCTTTTATTTCATACATGAACTGAGAGAGCAACACATCTCTGCGATCCGACACCAAGATGTGGCGGACCTAGAAGATGGCAGAGCGATAGTATCACCTGACCCTCCATCATCGTCTCGGACCCGTCGTCTTGAGGACTCTCGTTTGGGTATATGGAATGGCACCAACGAAGTCCGCTGTGCTACTGATACCTTCGTCGAGCTCGATAGCATTGATGATTCCTCACGTTCCGCGTCCTCACGCGAGGATAGAGAATCAGAACGCGGAAGAAAAGAAAACAAGATCGAACAAAGAGACAGCCGCGAGAGCTCTTGCGATAGCTTAGAGTCGTTGAGCCGTCAGTCGATTTGTCATTCGACTGCGGATCCTACTCACCTCAATAGAATCTCTCAGACTACTACCGGCGCTCATCGATGGTCTTTCTCAGATAGATTGCGCATCTTCCAGACTAGTCGTTCGAAAGTCGCAACTCTTCGAGATCGAGAAAAGAGCTCCCGGAGATCCTTGGGACAAAAAGCGGTTTCCGTCATCACCTTAATCATAAGCTCGGCCTTGATGTCAATGTCCACCGAGTTTCTCGTCGGAACCATTGATGACATAACTCATCAAGGCCATCTGTCAGAGTCTTTTATCGGCTTGATAATTCTGCCGGTCATTGGGAACGTGGCAGAGTACGTCACTGTCGTGACGATGGCGTCGAAAGAGAAACTAGACCTCGCCATCGCGGTTGCAGCTGGGTCAGCCATACAGATCGCGCTTTGCGCAGCGCCCATAACTATCTTAGCAGGCTGGATCATGCACCGAGACGCAGCTTTTGATTTCAGCTTGTTTGAAGCGGCTGCCCTCTTAGGCGCAGCCGCACTTTCCACACGGCTTCTGCTGAGCGATGGGCGGAGCAACCTGAAGATGCCGGGTATCAAAGGAACACTCATGTGTGCATGTTATGCATTAATCGGGTACGTATTAGGATATTCAATCTTAATCAAGTGCTGGAAAGGGCAATGCTAATTCCGGATAGAGTTGGCTCATTCCTTTTACCAGATGTTGAGACATAGCGATGTCATGCATCGAAAGCATAGAGACCGGGTGACATTGTAGGATTACATATGCGTTGTCTAATACTATCGCTCAAGCAATGAGAAATTGCTTTACGACTGATGCTTCCCTTGCGAGCCGATTGAAGGCCTTTGTTACATTTATGGGTTTCGTTGTGTCTTTCTATATTAAACACTACTCTAAGTGTAATCTATAACGTGACAACTATCCGTTTGGTGACTCTTCATTTCTACTTGCAGAGTGTCTTGCGTTACATGAGAGTAGTAATCAAAGTAAAGCCGATTTCTTCACAAGTAGATATAACAGTACGGGCCAGCAAGAGTGCTCATCGTGTCTCGAATTTTGATAGGAGGACCGGCAGCGTATCCGTACTCGAGAACATCGTCAAGAGTTGTGTTGGCACTTGGAGGCGAGTTCAAGAATGTGTTGGTTCCCATGACGGCATCATCAGCAAACTGACGAGCGTTGGGTGACAGCATCTGCCACATCCACCAGACGCGATCAATCTGCGCGTGATGCAAGTAGAAAGCGGGATCACCGGGCGATACGAAAAAGTCTCTTCCAGGGTCACCTCCAAGAGTCTGACGAATGTTAGCTTCGCGTTGTGACATGAATAACACAGAGGGAACGGAGCCACTTACGAAATGACCACCTCCGTGGATGCCCATGCCCATGGTACCCGAATCGGGATCTCCCTGCATCTCAACTTGGAACTTGCCTACGTTCTGAGGAACCAGGATGTTGTGCAGGATTGCGGAAGCGTTCGAGTACCTTCGGTTGATAGCCGTAGTCAAGTCGCGCTTCAGGCAGCGGGGGTTATAGGCAAAGAATCCGTCCGGGTTTGTTTCACTGCCTCCGCCCGGAAGAGAGAGAGCCAAAGGGCCAAGGTTTACAGACATATTCATGAAAGGACCGGATGTAATGCAGCCACCTCCAGTTCCGGTTGGAAGGCGAGCGGCTTCCGAACCGTCAGGGTTGGTAAGGATGATGTCTTCCTGATCAGCGATGAACTCCCCATTGCCAGACATTGATGTCTCGGTGCCGTCGAAAATGGGAGAGCTATCGACACCAGTTACGGCGGTCTTTGCCCAGTCCCAATACTGTCATGCTGATTAGCCGATGGCTATCATGGGTTTGTACAGGCAACTTACAGGTTGAGTGCCCTTGTAGCCACATTCCTCTCTAAGCGCCTCCTCGTACAACCAAGTGAAACGTCTGTGCCAGGATAGAAACGTGCCGGTGTAGTGGATGGTGAAAGTCTGGTTAATGTGTGTGGCAACGAAGTCATCGAACCGAGTCTTTGCACCAGGAACAATGTCGGAAGGGGTCAGGGCAGGCTTTGACTGAAGGCATTGCACGGCCTTGATGTAGTCGAGCTTTTCTTGTCTTTGTAACGAACCCCTAGATTCATGTTAAGGGCAGTTCAGATTACAAGGCGAGCATGGCCAGGACAAAGCTTACCACTCTTTGCGGATTTTGATGTTTCCAAGAGAGCAGGAGCTTCCACGCTTCTGGATTTCTCCACTTTGGATTATCTCTTCCGACTTCTGGTAGGCAGCCTGAGCGAGAGCCGCGAGCTGATCGACATTCTCGGCAGCAGCAGCGGCCCCGTCATCGGTCTGAGGGAGTGGGTTGCCGAGAACAGCGGAAGCCGCCTGAAGGGCGAAAACACCAAGTGAGAGAACGTGCATGATGAGGCCTGCTGTGTGGGACAAGAAAACAAGGCCTCAAGAACGAGTGGCTCAGAGCTTGAGTACTTTCTGAGTGCGGGAGAGAACTTCTGCAGGAGAAGCGCCAGCCGTGTGGCAGATATATAACCCTCCCGCCGACCTACTTCCGATCAGAAGAGACTGAATCACATCAGTGACAAGATAAGAAGTCGACCGAGGCCCTACTACATCGTCGTTGGTGCTCTCTCCGTACGTGATATTCAGGGATTCTATGGTGGATCATGTCGCGTAAAAGGATCCAATTTGCATCGCCACCAACCCGGCCCAAGTAAACACCTCCCAAATAAGAATTCTGCGAAATATCTCTCAGTCGCGAGCAATGTGTTGTTCCAACATGCAATTGGTTCCACTTTACGGGGAAGAAAACCCGTCGGCCGTTTGGCGAATCTTGGCTTCCAAGGCCGGAACAGCGGGAAAGACGGCGGATTACCCGACTTCATCATGCAGGTTGAAGCCGGGGTTGCAGAAACGGTCCAAGGTCCGGGCCAGTTGGTTTGTTGGTTTTAGATTCCCATGTAAGACTCTTTACCTGATGCAGCCTTGAACCCGACGCTGTGCAGATTTATCCCACGGCTCTAGCAACAAAGGCTCAAGGCTTGCGCTGATCCCAGAACAGGCAGAGAAGGGCCGTGAAGTCGAAAAGATTCTGACTTTATGCAGATTCTAGTCCCAACAACCAACTCGCAGCCAGGGGCACCGTCATACCATCCTGCAGAATTTCAAACCCCCGTTTATTAATCCCAGCATCACAGCATTGCCCTCCCTTTCGCCAAGTTGTAAAGCCACCAACCATCTGAAGAAAAGGGTGCGGCGCAGACACTCCGATGCAGAACTGACATGACTGGGAGCCCGGGTGAAGGACTTTTTGTATTCGTACTTTCTATCGCAAAAATAGTCGATGCCATAGACCTTACTGAAAAGGCAACTGCTGCGAAGAGATGGGCCGATGAGGGTTTGCGAACCCTTGCAGCTTCATTTCAATCAGCCAGAGTCTGGTTTCCAGTCTGAGGCTGGAGGCGGAATGCCAAGAAGGCACCGAGAGCCTGCTGTCAGCCTAATTGGGATAATTCGAGGAATAGACTCGTGGCTTCTATGACTTTATGGTGTGTGGCCGGAAAACGGAAGACATGGCGCGCCTAGAGTGGCTGATGTTATCAATGCTCTGCTCTCCAAACTAAACCGAATCTTTACATCTTTCTCAGTCATCTGATGCCAAAAATTCATCATCCTTCATCAGAGAATGGAGTTCGTCTCGAACCCGGAGGAGAATGAGGGACCCACGGTGTTGGCCGCAACACTAACTGTCACTTCTGTGGCATTGATTGTCGTGGCAGCTCGCCTTTGGGTGCGCCTTCGCATGATTCACAGCTTCGGATTCGATGTAAGTTTGCAATTTTTGGGCTTACGTGATATCCCTTCCAATAGAAAGTAGGCATTAGCCTTGAATCGCTGACAATGATCTCAAAGGACGGGTTCATGACATCCGCGATGGTCATCGCGATTGCTGGTCAAGGAGTCTTGATCGTGCAGGTCATTCACGGAGTTGGCCGCCACGTAGGAGACATTGATCTCGTCAAAGACTACCCGATAGCGATGCAAATGGCCTTCGTCTCTCAACCCCTTTTCCTGGCTGCTATCTGTTTAGTCAAGCTTGCTGTAGGGTCGTCGCTACATCGAATCGCCTCCAAAAAGCTTTACAAGAACCTCATCACTGGGGTCATGGTCTTCATGACCGCTTACACGATTGCCTGCGTTTTCGTTAGTAACTATCGCGTACCTCCAGAGCACGGTTGAAGGTCCTATTGCTAACACAACGGATTCGTCACAGACCATTATCTTCCAGTGCACAGATGTACGCGCATTCTGGGACTTCAACGTCAAGGCAACCTGCTGGGATGTCGATACGATCAAGGGTCTCTCCTATGCAAACTCTTCGATAAATATCCTCACAGACTTGCTCTTTGGAATCGCGATTCCGGCACCCATGCTTTGGGGGCTCAATGTTCCGCAAAGGGTTCGAATATCTCTCATGATGGTCCTCGGCCTGGGAGTCTTTGCATGCGCAGCAGCTTGCGCCAAAGTCTACTATATCGTCACGAGTTATGGGAGGGCCTTTGATCCAACCTGGGACTCGCGAGATATTCAGATGTGGACCGTCATCGAGGCCAATGTCGGAATCATAGCTGGAAGTCTGCCAACTCTACGACCCCTCTTCAAGGACTTCCTGGGTAGTATCTACGGGAAGGGGTCCAAAGCGCCAACAGCGGGAGCATACTACGGCCGTGGTACGCTACGCAGCGGCAGTAACTGGCAGACTCTGTCAAACACCCAATGGCCAGTCAAGCCGGGCGAAGACAGAGGCGAGAAGTTTCCCAAGAACCAAATGAATAGAACAGGGAACGATTACGAGATGGAGACATACGCCACTCGGCCTGTGGGAACCACGACCGTCGCGGCTGGGGCCGGGGGCGATGACAGCGATATTAGTGAGGACAAGGTCGAGCTGCGGGACAGCTTGACCGATGGGCGGGGTATTAAGAAGACTACTGTAACTACAGTCATGTACTCTAGCTCTCCATAAAGAGGAAGTTTATACAGGGTGATCTGTCTCTTCTGATTATCGTGCCAATGGTTTGGCATGTTGGCACAAATGTTGATTTAGTTGCCTCCCTTGCCCTCGCTCATTACAGCAGGAGGTCCATGTCCCGCAAAGCGTGCCCCTTGAGCTGTCAGAATTCTCGGCTCTTCAAACGCCACAATGTTCCTGACTGTAACCTCACGCCGGCTAATGGATACAAGAAGGATTCTTCACTTCGTTCGCTTCTGCATCTTTTTACCCATTCGGAAATGTGGTCCGAGACCAGGCAGTCTCATTGGTCGAGGGACAAATGCTGTGTGGCCTGGTAAGAAAGGCGAGGAAGCATCATACCCGGTATGATAATGCGCCAGTGTGGCGAGGCCGGAAGTAATCCTTGCGCGAAGGAACTTGTTGTTGACGAAGTGTGTTGGATCAACCCTGCGGGCCTTGAACCGCGGATGCGACTGATACCTGGAGGCTCGGATTACGTCCACTTTTCAGAGCCCTGGTTAGTTTTTGGGTCCGAATTCAAACGGTGTCCCTTTATCGATAAGTGCTGGGAACTTTACAAGACGAGGGATCCTTGATCATATGCGATCGCAATTTCTCAGACGTTGTGTCCGATCGTATCCGTAATGGGCCTGACTATCCGCAATGACCACACCTAATCTCACCCCCCGGTCCGGCCGACTTAATAGACCTCAATATTGACAGTTCTGCTTGGTCTGACAGGGTCAATGACTGCCCGAGTGTCGAGATTGAACAGTACAGAAAATAGTGCCTTTAGATAGCCATACGAAGCGGCCATAGAAATTCAACTTCGGTTATCAATGGGAAGGTATTTGAAATGATCGGACAACGAGATTCGATTTCAACTCCATCACACAGCCAATCACTCACGAACCCACTTAGTCACCAACTCCTCCGTTATAGCCATCGTAGCATCTCGCTTGAAGCAATCGCTTTGTCGATCGACATCGGCTTTCTCTTTCCTCCGATTCTTTCGTTTCGAACTAACTATTCGAAGAAGTCGTGGAGCTTCGCAGTTGGATTCACTCTCATCACGAAAGGTTTCGCCAAATCCGGGCGAGCGCGAATATGCGACATGTGAATTTCAGATGCTAAGACTGATGCCAATGCTCCAAGGTGAAGTCTCATGCCATCTTAGACCGTTATCTACTAGGTGAAAGTCTAAAGTACTTGAAGAACTCAATCACTTAGACCCGACCTGATCCTTAAACTTTCAAACCTTGAAACTCTCACCGCCACACCGAAGCTCGCCAGTCAGACCCCGTGCAAAGAAGCTTCCTTCGTATCGTAAAATATTCACACCGCACCAAGGATCAAATGCAGAGCGGCGCGGAAAAGTAATCTGACCATGGCCAGCCCAGATCTCGCGAAATTTCCAGTCCATGATCGTAGGAATCAGCTCTTGAATCGCCGATGTTCCCACACACGGCTGTGGAATACTACGAAGATTGAGCCCCCATTTGTCTGCGGCACGCAAACTGGGAATACGATGGTCGGGGACGAATTCGCACTCGAAAAGAGTTCGTCCTGCCGGCCTCTGCGCATTTGCCAGAACCAGCCGGGTACCGTTTGTCGTCCGAATATCGGCCTTGCCAAAGACTTTGGGAAAGCCGTACTGCTCACGTCCTGCAAATATGGCTGCCTCGTTGTCGAGGATCAAGATGAGACTGTATATGAACTTCTCGTTCTTATAAGTCACCTCGACTTGGTGGACAAACTACTTGTACGCCCCCACAGAACTCATTCCGTAGTCGAGCACTATGGTTGACATGAGAGGCTCATCCTCGAGCTAGCATATTTGGGACCAGATGGCGAACTTGAGATGCGGCGACGCGGTAGGTATAGCCCAGCATCATATCGATTGCGAAGCTGTATGGGTCTGGAGGTTTCGGGTATGGAGGTAAAAACATGGGGACCGATTCCGCTTCGAAAGATAGCGCACCAAAGCGCATTTCTACTGATCGTCAACTTTGATTGTGTGAGGTGATAGGTATTGCTATGCTGCAATTATCAACATCAAAGCCAGTGGGCAACGATAACATAAAGCATTTCTCGACTTTCTTTATGTTCAAAAGTTTGCGCCTATTCATGTCTCTGATCGGTGTCCATGGTGCGTCCGAGAAGACCGCCTCGGACCCTGTAGGCGCTGCATGGTGATGCTGTTCAGGATGCTTACTCGCTGGTAAGAGTCAGGCTTTACGTTACCACCATGTAAGACATTGAACTAAGTGGGCATCGCCCGAACCACGTTGATCAAGTGGGGATTGTCCGACATGCCTGTGCCTCGGCCACGGCGTCCGCATGTCCGCGAAAAGCCGTTGGCAACCACAGTCGCGCCGGCCGAGCTCTCGGTGTCAACTTCGGGACCCGATTCCGCTAGAGCAGTATCGACACCTCGCTGTAGAACGACAGCCGTTGGCTCAACTGTAGCGTAGATTTGGCTGTCGTCGCATCTGATGTTGCATGATTTGTCACACGTGCCACCCCGGGGAGTATTAAAAGTCACTCCGGCGGGATTCGGCCTGGTAATATCCAAAATGCGGGGTGAAGCCCCCGCCCTGTAAGCATAAAGTCTCGGCAAAAGTCGTGGTTCACCTCTACCCCCAGGTTTCAGGAGCGCCAACTTGAATAAGCCTGGACGACAAGTCTATCGAAATGCAAGCCTTTCAGTACATGGAGAAAGGCGGCGGCCTACAACTTCGAGATCTACCGATTCCTCAGCCTGGCCCCGGCTGGGTTCAGCTACAAGTCAAAGCCGCCGGTCTGTGCCATTCAGACTGCCACATATTGAAGGGCATCGATGGGGTTGTTCAGCGGCCCATTACTCTCGGCCACGAAGTTTCTGGGATAATTACAGCACTCGGCCCTGATGTGAAAGAATTCAAAACCGGCGAACGTGTTACCGTGGGGCTTTTCTCATATCCGATCAAGCTTCGGGACTGGACAATGGCTATTGGTCTTGGATTCGACGGTGGTTACGGAGAATTCGTGCTGGCACCTGTGGCAAGATTAGTCCACATCCCGGATAGCCTCCCATTTTCTCAAGCTGCGGTGGCGACTGATGCGATGGCAACATCCTACCATGCTGTGGTAGTCGAAGCCGCTGCGAAGCCTGGTATGACGATCGGCGTGATTGGTATCGGTGGCCTTGGGATGTCAGGTCTCGGCTTTGGAGTCCTCAAAGGAGCCAAAGTGTACGGCATCGACATATCTGAGTCAAAGTTCAAAGAGGCAAAGAGACTCGGTGCTAGTGGGTGTTTCAAGAGCCTGGAAGATGCTCAGGATGTGGAGTTCGATGCCATCGTCGATTTCGCCGGCACAGGGGCAACCACAAAGCAGGCCATTCAAAGGGTGAGCGAAGGGGGCAAAGTCGTCGTCGTTGGACTGGCAGGTTCCGAGATCACAATCCCTAGCTATGCTTTGATTGGCCGTAGTGTAAGTCTGATTGGATCGTTTGGAGCGAGTGAACAGGACTTGAGAGATGTCTTCGACCTTTTGGCAAACAAGTCGATTGAGCCAGAGTTGACAGAGATTCCTTTTGCGGAGATTCCGGCAGGGCTTGATGCCTTAGATAGAGGCGAGACACAGGGAAGATTGTGGTCAGATCCGAGTAAGGCCAAGACAAGCTCAAGTAAACTATAAATAGCAATGGGACCACAGTTGAGTATTGTAGTAACAATGTATGGAGAAAGAATGCAAGGAAAAAACCCAAGTTTTTTGCTCTTGTAGTTCTTATGCCATGCTCAGTGGTCTCTGCCAAACTATTAGAGGAGCTTCGTCAGAATTAGCAAGTCTGGCATTTGGATAAGAAGACTAGCTAGTATCCACATTCAATCAGTCCTCGTTGATTGACTGAGCTACCTAGACTGAGATGATGCGTGATGCGTGATCTTCCGCCTCCATGGCCACCACTCATTCACTCGTCCAAGAAAACAAGACACTTAAGCTCGATACTCGCTCGTTCCTCCTCGTTCATAAATCTAGAATCCTCAAAAGAACTATGAAACACAGCCATCCTCGACTCGAAACTCTCCAATGACGCACTGTCCCACTGAAGAAATAGGACAGGCTCATCGGGTTGCTGATGATCCAGAAAGACCCAATCATGGTCTTCACTGTAGGAAGCTGTATCCAGCCAGAAGTCTTGAGCGTCCTTGCCGAAGACTTTGAATTTTCCTTCAGGTCGTGAGAAGATCTGTGCATGTCGTTCCTGAGATCTAATGCTTTTGGGCACTAGAAAGGCAATCGGGTCGCGTTTGATCGTCTTCAGAGGCCTCCATACGTTGACCATGAGAACTCGACCCTTAGGAGGCATAGATTTGGGCGGGTGATCCATTTTGGGAATAGTATCTTCCAGAAGCTCAAGGCCACTTCGAACAGTCAAGTCGCCGTGAATAGAGTAAACCGGCGTGGTGTCTTTCCTGATTCCACTTGTATCAGAGTGTCGAATTCTTGAGACAGTGGTGAATGTCCTGTTGGCGTTAAAACTATTCGTAGATTTGATTAGTTATTCGCCTAATCACAAAGTTTTAGATAACATGAGATAAGGGAAAGTCATATTACTGTTTCTTGAGAAGCTCTTGGGTGTCTCGAAGTATCACCTCGCGAACCTCATCCTCGTCAGACCAGTCTTTAACATCAACCCTATGCTTCACGAACTCCAAGCCATCACTCGCGGTAGTGAACTGATTCATCTCGGCGCGAATGTTACGAACAAAAACTTCGCGCTTATCTCTGTAATTCTCAGCATCGGAATAAAGATTGGTTGGCGGGTTGAGAAACTCTGGTGTTGGCGGCGGCTTTCTGTAGACAAGATGCGTCCCGACTCCTGGAAAATTGGACGCTGAAGACATCTTCTGAGGCGGTGAGATTAGCAGAAAGTATTTTGCAAAAGGCGGACCTTGAATGCAAAACTCATCATTCGAGATTGGGAAAGGAAGTCTTGCTTCTTATGTGACTGACAGAACTCACTTCCCCGGGGTCTTCTTTCTGCAGCCATCCAACAATATGCTATATTTAGAGCCCTGCAATCATCATACGAATCCCGCACTCAAAGCTGACTGATGCAGTGATAGGCGATGGATGTTGCCGCTGACCAACAGCAATGGTGGCAGAGAATGGAATTTAAGGTAGCATGAATGGAACGCTGCATGAAGTGCCTATGAGATTAAGTACGTGAGTGATTCGTCCTCACGAGCATAATCACCACATAAGTCTCAAGACTACCGGTGGGATCGTCTTCTTGTAGACCCAAAGGGAAGGTCAGCGAGGGTGCCTCGCTCCAGCCAACCACGCCAAGAATTCATGCGACTCGATACCAAGGGAGAGGAGAGGCGACAAAGCAATATGTTGAATTTCTTCATATTGAACCATGTCATCGTGGTAATGAAACAACATCGGATATCTTTATCCGTCCTCAAACTTGGCCACACACATTGTGGTGTGGACTGGGTCTTTACTCAGACATGACAGCTGAGCTAGCTTCAGGATTGACAAGTAAGTTTCTCCACAACTGGGCAGCCATTACTACAACACCATTTCCTACCACCCATCACTCTATCTCATCATCGTCTCCGTGGAAGAACCTTAGAATAGCCGCTGCGACCAGGTCACCATCGTGTTCCCAATGCGCAGTCTCCGCCGCCTGATCCGCATGTTCCATATCCTGAATACCGCCACTGTCAATCCTCATTTGGATCTGCCTTTTTACCATATCCTCATCAAACGCCAAATGCGCCTGTGATGTGAAGAGCCGGCCCTTGATGTAGACGCCCTGCACCTTGGTGTGCTCACTGTGACCCCACACATCCACCTTGTCGCCCGGCTTCAATAGGCCCTTGGAGCTCTCGGTGGTAGGTGGCGCGACGACTTGGTCTTGGTGCATTTGGTGAAGATGCACATGATTGTCTTCTGTCTTAAACAGTTGCTTACCCACCGGGGAAAGGTCGATCGGACAGTGGCCTAACTCCCAGTCTTCTGATGGCGCTGGTGCGACTTCGGCGCCGAGCATCCGGTTGAGAAGCTGGTGGCCGAAGCACACGCCGCTCAAGTGGAGATCCGGCCGGCGCTCCCAGAGTTCTGTTGCCCGGAGTCAGTACCGCTGGTTGCGGGTGTCTGTAAAGGGTATCAGTGGCTTGAGTGGTGACGAACCTTGTAAAACTCCGAGGAGTTTGAGAATCCAGGGATTATCTCCGTGTGCATCATACATGCTTCCGGTGATCAAGACACCTTGATAGCTGTCGAAATCTTCAAATGATGGGACTGTACCTCCCTTTTCCTCTACCACAAACTTCTGATCTGTATCGACTCCCAACGGAGGGTCGTGTTCAGCGCCGGCATGCTGGAAGTGTGTATGCAGAATTTCTCCAAAGCTCCCCTTCGCTGCATGGGTGTCAGGATGGGGGTTGTCCGTCTCCAACACAATTATCCGTACTACTGGCGCGTGGGGGGCAGGGTACTTCTTTGACATATTGAATGTGTTTCGCCCAAGGGGCTTGCAGTAGAGTAATAGTAACAAGGGTGTTGAACTCGGGCTGTTTTGATTACTCAATGGGCAACTTTGGGGCATCGGTGAAGTAAAAAAAAAAGTTGCAGGTAATTCACAGGCGCAGCGCAGTGGCTCATACATTACTTAAGGGTGACGCTCATCCCCCCAAGACTCCTTCTATAGTGACGCGTTGTGATGTCGAGTAACTAACTACATAGGCCAAGGGAAACATTCCTTAGCATTCTGCCGTTGCGTCCGGGTCATCTGAATACAAAATTGACGTCAACAATTCGCGCGCGACTATGTTCTGTAGGGCTGAGGTGAATGGATTCTTCGATGACGGCAAGTTTTCTGCATTTGAATTTTCATAACATAATTCCCGTCCTCAGTCCACTACACCGGCGGCTCGGCGGGTTCCACAGGTGTGGAACTACTGCTGCTTGGCCCAAGTTCAAGAAAGTTAAATCAAGTATTCCAGGCTTGTGCCACCTCCCAAGTTATGGCGAAGCTTGCGTGGAAGAGAGCTGGGCTGGATGACTCGGAAGTTCAGTCTCGGCCAGCGTAAAGACAAATGATGAGAATTAGCTTCTCAGCAAGCCTACATTCGATGTTTGGCTCTTCGCCATGGTGCTCAAGTAGCCAAGAGAGGGATCTCGGGAGATAAAGAGAGTGGCTAGGGCCAACTGCCCAGACCCCGAACTCGGAAGTCCACCACAGTGTCCCCAGTAATAACTCGCCCCAACCGTGGGAACAATGGGGAAATGCCCCGAAAATATAGCATCACAATGGACCAAAAAGCCCACAGTCCAACTTTCGCGCAATATCTGCACTGACGTTGCAAGGGCAATGGGAATTTACGACTCGGAGATAATGCTCCTATCTACATGTGATTCAGTCGATGGTTCCGCAGCATTCTGTGAGACCAAATTTGTTTTTCGAAGCATGAGATTCGAGAACAACAAAGAGGACTCATGAAGCCTGGAGGTACAGTGCGGGGCATCGTAGCGAACTATTTGGATTGTGATGGATGCAACCAGTCCCTCCCTTGATGCGGTAAATAGCAATAAGACGCAGACTACCTTGGACACAGGAAGTAAGTGCCTCGCAAGGGAGATTTTTCTCAAAGAAGCACCACATGATTCAGCGTTTTCTTTCGCGATTCTGCCGAAAGGCACAAGAAGTTGTCTCGTCAGAAAAAGGTGCCTAAGCGACACAAAGCAAGTAACGAATAACAACAACTAGGGAGCACAGATGCCTTCAGAGGACCAAGAGCACCATTTCAGATATAAGAAGACTCGAGTAACCCGGCTTACGACATCCTCTCGACGACTTGATCGAGACAGTCTTAGTCCCTCCACTGTGTGGCACCTTAGTTGAGAAACATTTCAGCTCAACCATCTAACGAATTTGATAAAATGGACAGAGAAACCTTGCAAAAGCTTCGCAACATGCACTTCGGCGGAGGGTCTGGTGGAGGTCTCGGCGGGGCCAGTAGCGGAGGGAGCCACGGAGCTCCCTCTGTCGTCGGTTCGGTCGACGAATCACTTGATATCGGCGAAGGCAACGATGCATTCACTGGCAACCGATGGGACTCGGTCCCGTCGGCCCAAGCCGGCCGCCCTCTCATTGGCGCTCCGCACCAAATTGCGCCCCAAAGTCTCCAGCAATCACAGCGACCGTCCGCATACCCGTCCGGATATCCGTCGCAGCAGCCCGTCCCGCCGTACATGCCGGTCGGACAAGGGCCGGCCGATCGTCTCGTACCCTCGGATGCAGCCGCAATGACGGACAAGCGCGAAGTAATCCGAAAGGTTTTCTGGCCGGAAATCAAGTCTTGGATGACCTCCGACACGGCCCTCCAGCAGTTTGCTGCTCCATGCCCCAAATGCTCAACATCAATGACCACCACGCCCGGCCAGAACTCGAACCGCGCCATGGTTCTCGTTTGCGGTCACATTCTGTGCGAAGCATGCATCAAACAAATTGCAAATTTTTACAACCTCGGTCAACCAAAGTGCCCCTACTGCCCGGGCCTCATCGGCCCTTACTTGCAGTGCGCTCAAAGCTGTATGGATGTGGGCATGATGGGTTTGCCTCTGCCCAGGAGCATGACAGAATTGGACAAGTTCCCGCTCACCACTCCCGAGGGCGCCTCCCGCCCTTCGTGTTGCTTCAAGTGCCGCGCTCTCCGCGTCGAGAGAGCGACCAACTCGCTAATGAGAGCCATACTCAGCGAGACCAGGTCCCGTGCGGTTTGGGCTCCCAGATACGACCACAAAGCTGATGGGAAAGATTACAGTGACTACAAGCGGGTACCAGTGCTTGACAACCTTATGAGGCAGATCAGAGACATTGCGCATAGCGATTATATCTATCAAAAGTATACTTGGCTGACGCCGACTGCTGAGCAGAAGAGGCAGGAAGCTTGGGTGGAGATGCTGGACACGGGACGTCATGTCTCGTAAAGGCATATTCAGCCGCATAGGCATTAGACTGTGGAGTTTCTAATGAGGATCGGATCTGGGTGGCGAACCAAAAGGAATTCGTCTACGGGAGCAGGAGAAAAGCACAGGATTGAGTCAGCAGCTGCACACAATGATAAAGTTAGGCTTTACCGAGATGATTATGTTCTGGCTGACTACCTATTACTGGAAATGAGCTCTCCTTCGTGCCCAGCCGAGTTTGAAGTACCCCGAAATTGCATTCTAAAGGTGTCAAACTAAGAGGCCATTTCCAACCATTCTGAAAATCAATGGCGCCAAACCACAGAGTTCTTGGCGTATGGAAAAGCTTCAATATGTAGATCTGGATAATGTCTTGGCCATACAGGATTATGCAGGTGCAAGGAGACAACCGCAAGGCACAGTCGCTCATCTGTGCCACGGTTATAAGGATAAAGCCCGAGGATCCGTGTCGAATGTAGCCGCGGTTGTTGTCTTGCCCGTCAAGCTAGTCGCTGTGAAACGCTTACGGAGGCAGTGCCTAGGCCAATGGTAAATCTCCGAGTCTTTCTTTAGACAAGCAGAACGTCACTGAAGATCGTGAGAGACATCGGAATCGGGTTAATCTCCTAGATCAGCATTGCGTCTCCGTATTATCGTAGCTTATCGACGTGTTGTATTGACTTCTTGTAAGAACTTCGGCTGGTAGTCTCTCCGACTACCGGTTGGTACTGTACGGAGTACGGGCAGTCACTCACTCACAGTCAATATTGACTACGATTCGCTAGATGAATGGAATTTGAACTATATCAAATCCACAATTGAGGGCTTCGGATCTGGCTTTTACAGGACATGACAGTGTTGACATGAATACTCCTTCGTGGCGTGATGTGGCAAGAATTCAACCAGACTAGCATTTCCAAGGCGGCATGCCGCTCACATGCGACTCTACATGTGCAAACAATTACCGGTGGGATCGTAGTTGTTTTATGGTGACGAGTCAGCTGGACATCTGCAAGACTCAAGGGGCTACCCGCAGACAGGAATTTTCTGACGCAAGGTTTCACACGCGAGTGTGTTTCCGCCGGTGGCACGCGCCGTTGCAAGGAAGTGCTGTGGAACGGCTCAACCTAGCCTATTCAGACACAATCAGCGACCAGTCTCTAATGGTTAGCGGTTAGTCAATGCATTAGAGTGTCAAGTTCGACATGGGCCTCTAGTTCGCCCAACCATTCAAAGAGTCTTTCTCGATGCGCGCGAAATCACTCTGAAATTTATGCTACCAAGAGCTGTCAATGTCAGATCTTCATTGCAAGCTGCTGTACTTCGGAGAAGAATGATACAATGAGTGTTGTTTGACTCCGTTGACTCGGATCGGTGTAGGAGTAGGTTTTGGTCTCAGCTTCGAATCAACGTCGCCCGGTCCAATCAGCATCCACGTCGGGGAAGCGGTCTTGAGGCTGGAATGGCAAATCCTCGTATGCGACGTTCTCCGGGCGAGTAGATGGTGCATGCCGTTACGGTTGTAGAATGGGATCTCTTGGAAGTCCTGGGCACAGCCTTGGTATCCCGATCGCTGGCCGGGCCAATTATCTTGGGAAACGCCCGGTCCTTGGCCATCGGCAAGCAGACATCTTGGCGACCATGGTAGGTATTCATGTGCAGACTATGGCTCTTCTAAGTAATTTACTGATATTTCTTGTCGGAGCTGCGAATGGTAAAACGGCCTTGCAGCTGCTAGCCTGTGGCAGGTCGCAGATCGCATCCTCGGTAGACAACCCCTCGTGCCCCAACGTCAAACATCAGCTTCATCTATCTTTACTTCGCAACACCATGGGCAACAGAGAAGAGATTGCAGCGCTCTCATAGAAAGAAGCTGCTTCTTGACAATGCCAGGGCCGCATCCAGCCCAGTTGCCAAGACTCTATATGGTTTCGGGGAGCCCTCGTTGTTGGAGGTCTTGGGACTTGGACCGTTTCACCTCCGCTCAGACGCACTTCTCCACCACATCCCGCGTAACCACCATCATCACCATACCATCGATGGAAACCACATGGCCCCCCTGGATCAACTCGCGGCTCTGCTGCCCTTCTCCTCGAATCCCAAGCGGAAACCCCCCTCCGCAAGGTCCGTGTGCCTGTTAGTCCCTGGAGCTTAGAACGCCCAAGAACCTATCATCTCTTGTCCAAGGCACCTGGAAGAGCTTCTATTTTTGACAGAGCCGCTTGGCCTTGGCAGCGGCAGGTCTTGACACGCATGACGGCGCCGCAACCCCGAATGGCATGGTCTCCGCGCCTCTCTTGTCCCATCCTCCACCTTCCAACCTCTCACCTTTGACACTCTCTCACTGGTTGTGGTTCTGGATCTGGTCGTGGTTCTCCATGCCAGGTATTTGAACCTCTTCTTGGCGCTCCGTGGGGATTTCATTCATTACGCTCTCTCCTCCCACCTTGCCTTGCCACTCGTTGACGCGTGTGCTATTACCTGATTTCCGTCATCTCTCTTTATTTCCTCCTCACTTCAGCTGTGCTGTTTGTTCTGCTTCTTCGATTCTCCTCCACCAAAGGAATCCCCTTCTTTTTCAGTACTACCTAATAATTCCTCTTGAGGAGAGAGACATCTACCGGCTGCGCCGACACACGATACCCAATCTTTTCAATTCAACTTTCCAATTTTTCGCCATGCAGATCACCAGCACCCTCATGACCCTCGCCATCCTGGCCGTAGGGATCAACGCCGCCCCCGCACCCCTGAACATCAACCTCGGCGCATACTCCCCTGCGTTGGTAGTCGGTGATGGTGCGCTCACATTCGGAGGCGAGGCGGAGGCTGGAAAGGGTAAGGGAGGCGCCGCCGCAGGCGAAGGCGCAGCAGCCGCTGCCGCTGCCGCTGCCGGCATTGGCGCCCCCGGAGCCGCTCAACAAGGCATCGTTGCAGGCCGAGATATTACAAAGAGGGTGGAGAAGCGCCAGAGCGGCTTCGATCGTGCCCTCACGTTTGCCGAGGCCGCGCTCACAAAGGGTCCCAAGATCCAACTCGGAAACGGCGAGGGCGGTGCCGGCGTCGGTATCATCGTTGACAACAATCCTACCGCTGCTGCTCAACCGAACCGTGCCGGTAAGGCTGAGAGGAGGAGATAGGTGGAACAATTGTTCGTTTTGCTTTCCGCGAGGGGAGGAGAGCCGTTGCGTAATCTTGCTAAAGTCCGATCGAAGTAAAAGTAAGTTTGATGAATTCTCTCTGATGAAACGAAACAGAACGAATAGCTGACTCAACCCTCTTTCAGATACTGCCAATGATACTCTGTCAGAGAAGTTGGAGTTCGCTCTCCTGGCCCCCGTTGATCGAACGCAATTCTGTTCTTCAGTCTTTGAATGAATTTCTGCGGACTTATAAAACCGGCAATCCGCGCGCGCGCGCACGCGCTTCTTGGCACTTTGGCATGATGATTTTCTCACTTATTCTCGTTCGTGTACTTTTTGGGGGCATGTAATATTTCCAGGCGTGGTGTAACTTTGGGGGACATAAAAGAGATTTAAAATGACGTCTTGAGTTCGCGGGTGCAAAGGATAGATCGAGCACGATCAAGGACGTGACGACACCTGGAAATAGTAGCGATGAGGTCCGGCATCGTGTCACCCGTTGAGGTAGCAATTGACTTCGTCGGGATTTGTTCTGATAACTGCCGTGTCCTTCCGGTCTTATCTTTGTGAGATTGATGACGAACTCTCATCCAGGTTGGCCGATGCAATGACCGCGTTAGTGTCTGCATAGGTTGATGTTAGTCAAGGTTGGTTGGGGGCCAAATTCGCACACGCGAAGTAGGTCCGGCAACTAAGATGCCGCCGTTGTTGATATACACCGTGTCTCACTGGAAACTAAGCACATGAGCACTCCAGTCAAGGGTCTCACTCACACAGATCCAACTCGACGGGCCGGCCCCCGTGTGGGTGTGTATACGATGTCTGACTGTGCGGTACTTGCTAATGGCTGTCCGCAACTCAATGACATTGGTTCGGTTGATCAAAACTCCTGCACCTTAGCCCGACCAATTCAGCTTATTGGTGGATCTGGCCTCTCACCCCCATTTATCGCAAGTGTTGATGGGCAGAATCATGTGCGCATTTTGCATGTTCATGGCACCACGCTGTCGGTCCTCACTGGCCAGCCCCAATGCCTTGCAGCCTGCCTGCAGGTCTTTTGGATGTGTCAGGCGCAGCCGTACGATATCGACAAGTCTGGGCAGAGAGGTGTCAAAACAAGGTTAGTCGCGTCTTGAGTGTCTATCCGATGTGTCTGGGGGGGCGTGGTGTTGCCTGTGGCGCTGCAGCTCGTTCGTAGGAATTGCGTCTATGCCTAGTCTTGGCCTTGCGATGGAAGTATGCGGTGGATGCTACTTGGCACCCGTGAGAAGTTGTAAGATGGTAAGCAACTTTCTCTGCGAACCACAGCCTGCTTCTAGATTCCGGGATAAGAACGACACGTCTTGCACTTTCTTTCCTTTTTCTTTCGTACTGTGGCTTCTTCGGTCTTTTGACACTCATTCATGGGGTTCATTGTTTACCACGCTATCTAAGTTACTTGACGGTACCATTTTGCCTTAGCCAGTGAGGCCTTCTCTTCTTGGCTGGATATAACGAATAAGACGCTTACCAACCAACCTGATGAGATCCCGTCAGCAATGCATACCTCTCCCACTCCGATTTCGCTGCAACCCCGCGAAACCCCTCTTCCCGTCGCTGCCCGACAGGAAGAGACAGGCTTTCATGTCATAACTCAGACGATCTATCGACCAAGTTCAACTTTCGTCACATACGTTACACTAGGGAGCGGGCCACCGACATCATACTCCGATGGCAACCCGGCCGACCCGCCCCCAGCCGCTGCTCCGACCACGGACCCACCACCTCCGGACCGATCAAGCGGGTCCCTATCAAGCGCACAGATAGGAGGAATCCTGGGTGGCATCGTGGCCTTCGTCGCCATTGTTCTCATCGCTTGGTTCTGCATTTCTCAGAACAAGAGAAGACCAGGACCGCCACCGGACTGGGACTCCTTGTATTATGACTCTTCCTCCGAAAGCGGGGTGACCGGGTCCCGTGGGCCGAGGACACCAAGGATACCTCCGCGGGTCTACCCGACCCGGGGCCGACCAATGCAATACGTTCCAATGCCACAACCACAACCAACCGAACCTTTCTACATTAATCGTTACGACGCATGGAAAGTCAAGACCAATGGACCAGCTCGCCGTCAGCAACCCCCGCCGCCTCAGCGCTATCGGACACGGGTTTTTTAAGAAGTTAACTCTGATAAAAGTCTGGTCTTGGACGCGGCCTATCGTCAATACCGCCATGTTGCGGATTCTGAAACATTCTCTTTGTTCTTCCAACATACCCACAGCCACGGAGGAGGCTATTGGACGTCTATGGCGCGAGCGGAAGTGATTCACGAGGACAACATAATGTAGTCAGGTCTTGAGGACAAAAGCAGGACAGCAGGAATATGATCAAGGACGGCCGGTTGGCTCTGATACATGCAACATTTGATACCCCCCCCTCTTCTCCCACTAGCAGCGGATCACGTTTTTGTGACTTCTCTATGGGTCGTTTGATTTCGAAGCCCCTTAATAAGTCAAGCTTGGCTACCTTTCCATAATCGAGTTCAGTTTGAAGAGCATTCCCTTATACCTTGTCGACGATGAAGCAGCACAACGGTCCTGATCGTGAGAATCTCGAGGTTATCATTATTTAGATTTGCCTCGGAAGCCAATGACAAAGATTATAACGAGAGTCAAATTTACCATGATCACTATGATCTGTCGCTTGGGGTCTCGAACCGCGCTGCCCTACATGGTTGTATTACCAACAGCCTGAATGCCGCCGTACTTCTGCGAGGGTCCCTGGGCTCCATTGCCTAGTCTGCGGATAGATGGCCTGAAACCTAGCTCCTATTCCCAGTTTTACTGAAGAGGAGGGTCTCGAGAGCCCAGGGCTTCAGCAAATATCTGCTACCTGTGTGATCTCATATTATGTCAACGCCAAGACCGGAAATGCGAAGCAAATTGCACCCACCGGCTCGCTAATTGCCTCGCTAAGTTGTCTCTGATAATTTCTCCGCATCCCTCTTTACCCCGCGCTCACAAATGGGTACAGTATGCGGAGAAGCGCAAGAAGGATTCAGCCGCAAGGGGTTCGTCAGGTTGAAGGGAACGCTCTTTGGGGAAGAATCAACGTGTTTGCTCCCACCCCAGTCCGCGAAATCTTCTACCGACCGGCCGAGGGACCTTACATGAACCCCACAAATCTTCCACGTATTGTTGCATTCAATCTGGGGATAATGATGATATGATCCGCCGCCGGTGACATTTCATCAAACTTAAGCTCTTAGGATTTTGGGTATTTGAGTACGGATGGCTCAGGGACTAGGACTCAAGTAGTGGCGCTTTCACATCCCTAACACCACTCTGTCGTTCCCGTGTGCGTGCAAGTTTGTCAAGATGCGGACCACCTCTTTGGCTCTATGGGCCGCCGCCCTTGGCCTAATGTCGATTGTTTCCGCCCAGGATGAGCTTCCCAAGCGCCCTAAGGTTGAGCCCGCTCCGTTCAACACCGGAAAGGCCATGCCATTTTCGCCTCCCAGAGACAAAGACCGCTATTGCTACGTTAAGCCGAGCTGCACCGAGGGCAAGGACGACGCGCCGAAGATCCTCAAAGCCTTCAAGGAATGCAACGACGGCGGCACGGTGGTGTTCGACAAGACCTACCTCATTAGCTCGCCGTTGGATCTCACCTTCTTGAAGCACATTGACGTAGTAATTACCGGCGACATCCAGTTCAATGATGACCCCCTCTACTGGGCCGAGAACAGTTTCAAGTTCGCTTTCCAGAACCAGTCAGTCTTTTGGAAGTTTGGCGGCGAGGATATCAACATCTATGGTGATCTTGGGAACGATAAATCTGTCATTGATGGTCGCGGTCAGGCATACTGGGAGGCCATTCAGACCAACAGTAGTGTAAGAACGCCAGGTCATGCTACTTTTCGAGTGTGCTAAACAGGACATAATAGCTCTTGAGGCCCATGTTGTTCTCTTTCGACGGAGCGAAGGGGGCGACAATGTCACACCTTCGGATGCGCAACCCTCCCAACGTGAGTTGTGACCACCACATCCAGATTGTTACAGGCTAACGATACCAGTGGTTCAACCTGATTGCGAACAGCACCGATGTCATTATCAGTGATATGGATCTTAAAGCCCAGGTAGGACGATCCACTGATTTACCACCATCTCAGGGCGGCGCAAAAGCTGACACAATGATTGGGACAGAGTCAAAATGGTGTCAAGATCGCCAACTCGGATGGTTGGGATACCTATCGGTCCGATCGCATTGTGATTCAGAACTCAGTCATTATCAACACAGACGGTGAGTTCGGCTACGGATGGTCTGGGTGCTTGCAATCAGGACAGCAAAACTCCCGTTGATACCGCGTGAACTGACCTCGGTGGCTTATGCAGACTGTGTGTCATTCAAACCAAACAGCACCAATGTTGTCGTCCAGAACCTGGATTGCACTGGCTCACACGGCATGAGCGTTGGCTCCCTGGGCCAGTACAAGGGCGAGACCGATATCGTCGAGAACCTCTACATATATAACACAACTATGGCCAACGCTAGCGATGCCGCTCGCATCAAAGTCTGGCCTGGTATTGAGACTGCTTTCCAGACACTCCTGAATGGTGGAGGTGGTCTCGGGCGTGTCAGAAACGTCACGTATGACCTCTTCAAGAATATCAACAACGATCGGGCCATTACGATTACGCAATGTTACGGCCAAAAGAACCAAACACTCTGCGAAGAGTTCCCGGTAGGTACCTTCGTTCTCTCTGAGGTATTTGTACAATTTAGTGCTGATCATGGTGATTCCAGGCCAACCTTACAATTTCTGACATCACTCTGAAGAACATATACGGCACGGTTTCAACCAAGCTAGACCCGCAAGCCGGAAGCCTTGTTTGTAGTGCCGCAGACGTAAGCTTTCCATCCATCGCTATGAAAGAGCATTGATTCTCCGGACACATCACTGACATTAGTTTTACGATATAGCGTTGCAGCAACATCCGCGCCGAGAACGTCACAGTCACGGTGCCAAGCGGGAAGCCACCTGTGTACGAATGCAAAAACCTGGACAAGAACTTGCTCCAGATCAACTGCACGTCCGGAACAGATGGAGATCGTGATACCACCAATGGATAGATGAAGTAGACTCTATTCAGAATTACTACAGCTGCGGGTTGAGCTTGTAACAACCCCGCACATTCTTGACCACAACTTATCCAAGTCGTATTACATCGATCAGATCATTCAAAATCAACAACGCTCTATCTTCTGGAAAGTATGGTGTAACACCAAGTTGATGTCAGCAAATCTCACCAAGTATAGTTAGCGGCATCGTAATCCCTGTCCCCAGCCTGAGTCTCATCGCCATGCCAGCGGCCATCAAAGCCCTCGTAACTCATGCCGTCCTCGCCGCGGTCCTCGCCACCATCTGAGCGATTGCCATAGCCTGGGTTGATGTCGAACTCTTCTTCCGCGTCCACTCCAGCGCGATTCCACCAGTGAGTTTCATCCAGCTCTGTCTCAATCTTAGCGATACTTGCCTGTACTCTGTGAGCCACATCCTCCTTCAGAAAATACAGCCATGATTTCATCTCGGCGAAAATCTCTTTGTGAATCATGCCAGAGACGTCGATCGGTCTCATTCCGTCACCCAAGCTCAACTTTGCTTTGGTTTCAAACTCATCCCTTACTTGACGGTACCAATCTATCATATGTCGGGGAGCGCCGCCGCGGGGAAATGGCTCGGCAATATGCTCACCTTGGAGGATTCGACTTCCGAAATCAGTCTCGGCCTGACAATCGTTGCAAATGGTCTGCTCCATTGGCTGCTCGCTGTAGGTTTTGGTCTTCAGATTCGGGACGTAAGAATCGCGACAAAGTATTGAGAACATGAAGGCTTCCTTGCATTCGGAGCATTGGAGCAACCTTCTGCACACTGGGCAGTCCTTTGGCTGATCGCTTTTTGCCCGCGATCTGAACCACGATTTGAGACATTCTTCCCCAATCATATGGCCACACGCAAGGATGACGGGCAGTTCCCATCCAACTTTCCAGGACGTACTTTCGTCTGCGCAATCCTCATGACAGATGGAACAGGGAACGCAACATTTGATGCTCGGGTCATGAAGTGATCTGGCATAGACGTCGCGAATATCTGGCCAGTAAGACGATGTGACAGTTTCCAGCTTTCTTGGGCGACAGCTGTTTCGGTAGTACATATGGCAACCGGTCGCAGATTCCCATGGGCTTTGTATAAACGTTGGCGACTGAACGTAGCTGCACCTACGTCTCTTAACACTTTCAGTGTCAGTTCCCTCTTCAGATCGTGAGGAGCGTTTGGTACATGTTGAGTTTGTCGTCAGAGCTGGCGTCTCTCCAGATTCGCTTGCCCGTGATCCACTTCCAGAAGCAGACCGGTCAGCAATGTAGGCGGTACCAGAACTGGTCTCTTGAATTTGCTTAACTTCAGGGGGAATTGGAACCTCTTCTTCGAGTGAGCTTGTGTCCTCCAAATTTCCGGATACATCCCTCATCCAGCAAAGAATGTCAGCCGGGTCGTGAGTAGGCGAGGCCATTGTCGACAAGTGATGTGATAAGTAAGGCACGTGAGCTATATAAATGAGATGCTGAAGAAGAGATCCGATCTCGCAGAGTAGAAATGTATGAGAGTCGTAGTAGTCAAAAATGTATTCTTGTGAGGAAGATACGCGCTAGAGTTGTATGCCAGGGGCTGAAATAGTATTGGTGATGTCTTCGATGGTCAGGCTGTTGATGACTGTAGGTGATGCAGACACTCGGTTGCAACGGACTGTTAAATAGTGTGTCTGAAGCCAGAGAGTCATCGATACAATGGTTCTAATGTCGTTTACAGCGAAAGAAGCCTCTGAACAATCATGTTGTAGTCTATCAATGATGCCAATGGCTTGAGTATTACCAAAATAGCTGATGAAAGCACCGTTTGTCAATGAACTTGGAAGTCGAATGGAATGTAACAAAGCCTTGATTCTTAAGAGGTACGGAAACAAGTAATACAATGTCATGTGCCTGAACGGGGCCGCAGCAGTGTGTCAAAACAATGGGGAACAAAGAAGTTCGAAAGACTGGAGATCACAATCGCAGAGCGCTGGAAACAAGTCAACCAAAATTGAGCATTACATCGCTGAAGATAACTTTGCAACTTTCTCAGCTCACCTCTAACAATTGCTATCAACTGGCGGAAATCTCATTGTTGTTGTGCCTGTCTACTCTATGATTCGACCTAAGCCTCACCAACACATGTGCGGCAGAATGGTCAGTGCTGGCAAGTCCTCGACACCAACCTCTTCGGAACGAGTGTCAAGTTGGCATTCTACTACAACTTTCAGGATGCTGCCTGGGAGATTCCCAACCGAAACGTCTACAACCCCAAGGAGCAGCCCCTTGGATGTAAGTCATTTCCATAACTTGGCGTCCCCCTGTCCTGCAACATGATCATGACATACTAAAATTACGAATCCGTTGGACTCACCAGTCTAGAGGATGGCAAGTGGCTCGTTCAGCAAAATGAACGGGGCCACAAGGTAAGCTTTGAGTTTGTAGCCAACGGTAGCAAGACAGTCGGCATTCCCAGCGCCAACTCTGGGTCCGTTGCAGGTGCCATTGACTACTTCTCGTCCTAGGGCTTGACAGTTGACAGCCGTCTTACGCCCGAGATCTCAGCTCCTGGTAAGCTATCGTCGTCCCGACAGCTAGCTGTTCAAACATTTCGTATTTTACATAATCCCCATATCAGGTGGTTCCTTTCTTCCCACGTATCCGACATCCGAGGGTGGGTAGGCTGTTCTCTATAGAACCAGCATGGCCACTCCATATGTACCTAAGTTGCTGATTGGAGACTAGCTCAACTCGTTCTAACAGAACTTCAACATTGCCGGCGTCGCCGCTCTCTACTTCTCAGCGAACGGAGGCCGCTCCAAAATTTCCAGCAACGCCAGCGACTCGGCCCACCACCTCATCGCCTCCAGCGGCAAGCCCGTCGCTCATCATGATGGAAGCGGCTCTCTAGCGTAAGTCTCTCTATCTTGGCGTTTCTAGATTCACCGAAGCTGACGGGTTATTACCCCTATTCCAATGCCAGGTGCCGATATAGTCGACGCCTTTAAAGGTCATAACCTACAAGACATCCATCACCTCCGCCGTCATCAATTTGAACGACACAGACCACTCCATCATCTCCACTGAGCCCGCTTCCGATCCCGTGGTCACTTTCCCTCCGATCCCGTACTCCTCGAACGAGGGCGAGGTGGCCACGGTCAAGTTCTCGGCGACTGCACTTGATGTAGCTCTTGGTACGACTGGGGTTCTGACGGTGACTTTCATCGAACCTGCCGGTATTGATGCGAAGCTTTTCCCGATCTATAGCGGATACATCAATATTATCGGCTTTAACGACGAGTCTCTGCGGGTGACATGCGCTGGTCTGTAGATGATGCCAGTTCAATGACAGCTCCAGAGGTAACTGACTCTCCATAGGTATTAAAGGCAGCGTCTAAGATAGCAAAATTTGGGCCGGCGAATGAATTGACCCCGTCATTCAAACCCCCGACTTTGTGCTAATCCAAGAGAATGATACCTTCAAGATGACTATCGAAGACACCTTTACCATTGACTTTGACATCCTCTGGCCTCGTTGTGAGTTCAGCTTCGATGTATGTACTCCCCGTTTCCCGAATCAAAACCAAGTACTTCATCTGGAAATAGCTAACCCTTTCAAGCTCGTCGAACCCTCTTGGGAGTCCATAGACTGTACATACCCCTGTGTTCCGGGCTAGCACAAATACCCTGGCTCCCTTCAGCATTACAACCTCATCTTGGACGCCTACTTTGATGCCCCCGTTCAACAGTACCCGCGCCTGCCCTCGAGTACCTGGTGGCCGAGCGGCAACTTCTCGCACGGCAGTGCGATCGAGAGCGGCGAGTACAAGATCCTGTCGAGGGCGCTCCGGACGTAAGGTGGTTACCACAATATTAGCGACTGGCAGATCAGGGTCTCGCCCAGGATCATCGTCGACAAGGATAAGGCTTGAGGCTCGCACATATAAGCGCGCCAGATGAATCAAAGGGTAAATCAGTCTGTAATTAAAGCAGAATATGAAGACCTAGTCAAGTCGGAGTCAACTACAAGTCATCAAAGATGACTCGGTTTGGCCTAAGTTACACTACTGGTCATCAAGTTGCTTGGGATCTGCGTTACATTCGACACCAACCTCCGTCATGGGAAGGACTCATCCAAGACTAATACATCCACCTCCAAATGGCGAAGCTCCCAATCACAACCCCACTACCCAAATGCGTCAAAGCTTTCCCCCCATCTCCTCGTCCTCCCTTTCCACCCATCGTCCTAACAATCCACCAATCCATGATTCCAACAAGCGAAGTAACGGCCAATAACGCAGTCACCGCGTCTTCATTGCCGCATCCCTCCTGATACGTCTCGAGCCCGAGAAACAGCAACCCGGTAGCTAGATCGCGCGCTGATTTGGCATAGCTAAAAGCCTCGGCTTCTGCGGAGAGGGGTCTGGCGATGCCGAAGGCGTCGTAGATTGCCAGGGGCCGGACGAAGCCTAGAAGGCCTATGAAAGTGAGGCCTGTGCCGAGTACGTAGCTCGGGTAAGGAGAGAAGGGGGAGGCTATGTTCATAGACATTCTGCTCAGAGTCGGTTTTGCGTGTCTTTTATCAAGGTCGCTGGTGCCTGACTTTGGTAATTCGTTTTTGATTATAGTTGACCTTTGGCATGCAGAAAAGGGTATTAATCATGAATGGGAAGCTTCCTCTCCGACTGCGATCTCAGCGGGAGGGGCAGCTTAAGTATCTCAAACAGCGTTCATCTGAACATGCAAACCGGGTCGTGCGGAGCTCCAGGATGGAGCTCAGTGTGAAGGACTCGAGCTCCAAGCATCATGCGGCAGTCCGATGCGAGCGGGGTGGTATTGAAGCAGACCCCCGAACATTCGAGGCCAGTCTTTCCCGGCTGTTATGGCCATAATGTGACAGAACCATTTTATGTACTGACTTACTTGTAGCGTACTATATCCTCAGGGTTTCAATGCTCAGGAATGACCGCATTAAGAATCCCAAGAGTGCTACATCGAAGTTAGTGTAACCCTTGACTGATTGCTGTCGTCCGATGGTTTTACCTTCTCATCACATACCACGAAGCTTTGAACCAAATGACGACCCCAATAAAAAGTTCGTCGATGGTCAGCGACCAGTGTACGAAAGCTGCAAGGACGCATCACCGCAATTCGCTCCGACCTCCCCCAGACCATGCACCGTATACAGACCCACTTCCGGGCCCGATCCCGGGCGACTTCGGGGACCCCACCAGGGACCAAAGTACTTAGGCTTATTTTTTAGCGCAGACCAAGCAGGAAGGAGCTAAGGAAATCCCATCGGCCCCTGTCTAGCATCCCGATCCTTCGCATCAACACGATCAGCCGTCACAGAATTTTTCTTCGCGATGGCCTCTTTCCTCAATCATCCACACTTGCACTCGCTGCCGTCGCCAGCACCAAGGGAGCGCTCGCCTCTCGTCCACTCGCTCAACGCCTGTTACACGTGAGAGACTACCGGCTTTCACACTCGACCTCCACGATCGCGATCACGATAGCTTATCGCCACCACCGCAGCCATGGCCCTTCCCGACACCCTCCTCGCGTTCCTCATGACGCTCCTCTCAACAGCGCACGCCTTGAACGTCACCGTTCCCTCCGAGATCAAAGCTGGTGTCGAGACGGAAATCGAAATTGGTTTCGACTACTGGAAACAACCGTTCGTCTACGAGACCCTCCCCGGGCCAGTCTTTGACGAGATCGTGGCGGTATGCCGCAATCCAGTAGACGAGGACGTCGGCTGCGGCCATGACATGCTGTACGAGCACTACCAGCTATTCCTGTACACCGAGGAATGGATGTACACCTGTAAGAGGGCCTTTCTTCCTACCTCGGTATCCTTGCGCCTTGCGCAGTACCGATAAAGTGCATCACTGACAAGGGGTCGACTGGCAGGCTACCTAAGCGACTTCATCCCAATGGGCACGACCAAACCCAAAATCACAATCCCCAAAGACCTCGGCCCCTCCGAGTCCTACAAAATAACAGCCATGGCCTTCAACGGCTCCAAAATCCAGACAAACTACTACGGCGTCGAATCCTCCCCAGACTTCACCCTCACAAACACAGACATCAAAGACTGGACGGCATGGGAATCCTACGGCGGCTGGCTGAAACCGTGGTACTCCCTCCCCTGCTCCTCGTACGGCTGCTTCCGCACCTGCGGCCTCAAATTCGCAGACGAGCACGGCAACAAGAAGCAAGGCACGGGCGCGGGACTCTTCAACTGCCTCAATGAGTGCCCCGGTATCCTCGCGGACTGGAACGACCCCGACTCGCAGTGGTCGTGGTATAAAGCGTTCGACGGGCACGATTGGTCGGGCGAATCGACGGCCGTGACGACGAGCACGCCGAGCGCGGTGCCTAGTACTACAGGGTACGGGTATCAGACGATGGATAAGCAGGAGACGACGTTGTACGGCACGCCGACGGCGCCGACGGTGTATTCGTGGGAGAGTCTCTTGACGGCGAGGCCGACTGCAACGAGACAGGCTTCGGCGGGGAGGAGGACGGCGAAACCGCCGGTGGCAGTGCCGAAGAAGACGAGCTATGCGGGCCTCATGGCGACGATGATCTTGACGTGCCTTGTTGCTTTTGGCGTTGGTTCTGTGCTTGGATGGATCTGGCCGGATGCATTGAGGCAAGATGGATGAATGTGGTTGTACATGGGACGTGCAGAGCAACGTGACTTAGTCATGGGATGACACTTGAAGATGAAAATAACACTAAATAGTATTGCCAGCTACAAGATTAATTAGCTACAACATCAATTGAGCTATGCCTCGTACCCGCCTTTCCATTGCTTTAGATTCGGGCTTCTCTGCATCGAAGCTCAAAGGCCGAGCGGATCCTCTTAGCTAATAGTAAAAGCCACCAGATAACACCGCCTGCACCCCGCACAAGCTCGACGCATCAGCTGGGTGCTGCAGGGAACGCCCGGACGCGCGCTCTGCTGCGGGGAACTCCTGTGCTATGAGACGGGGACTTGAGAATCGGGATTCTTAGCCCATGGTTTACCTCAAAACGTCTTGTTTCGTTGGGGCTTGGTCGCGGTAATCCTCGGCCCAGAGCGGTGTTTGACACATAAGTCCCCAAGTAGGGAAGTTGGGACATTTGGCTTTGAGATCCCATCTTGATAAGAGATGTGCCTATGTACATGCCGTATCATTCAGCTCACCTCACGAACGGCTTCACTCAGGGATGAAGCTTGCATGCTGCCATGTCATCTCAACGGCTGTCTCCTCTTATCAACCTCTCGCTCCTCCTCCTCAACCCTTGTACATGTCCCTCCCTCCACGGCGCCTTGTGCTCCCTTCTCTCGGGACTAAACACGATGAGGGTGAGCGGCTATGGAGCTGTGTCGCCTACCCTGCAGTGAGCCGACAACAAGCGCCCTATGAAACCGGGCCCTGGGCCGATTGCGGGGTTAGCCCAAGGGGGCCGCAAGGGCGTGATGCTCCCTTTTCTGGGGAACAAGCTTGGGCCGGCGGTCGGTCTGTGGAACGATCCCAGTTCCGGGCGTATAAACTCGTCTATGTCGCCCGTCACGGGAGGCCCAGTCCCGACTGACTTCAGTCAAACTACCCCCATCAGGCTTCAGCTCAGAGGACGAAGTCTATACAAAGTCTCCAGAATTGTGCAACTTCTCCGCCGCGGCGCGTCATCGGTCAAACCCCGTATCCCATACACCGGTGATCGGTCGAGTCGTTCATCCCCAGCTTGCTTGAAGTGTGCCACACAAGCTCGACGACTCCCAGGTACTAGACTGTTCAGTACTGACGCAGTTGTCAAGCGAGACTCTTCCCCTCCCTCAGAGTTGTTTGATAACACTGTGAAGTAGTCAATCACACACACACCTACACATCCACCTCACTTGTTGATACCTACGCCGCCCCCCTCCAATACACACTGCTGGCTGGCTAGTTGGCCCGTTATTGCCGTTCTTCACCATGCCTTTCAGACAATTGCCGGTGCCAATGGCACGTTGCTTGCGCAGCTTCGGCCCTGCAGGTGGGCGTCCAGGGAAATTAGTCCGCTTCAACCAGACATTGGCGCCCAGCATAGCCGTTGTCGGCGGCCCTGCTCGTCAACTTGCCGGTTTCTCATCCGCTGCCCCACTGCATCGAAGTGGGGGATCAACATCACCATCATCCTCCCATGCGGGTGCTGGTATAAAGCCTACCAGCTCTCGGCCTCTCGTCGAGGATGAGTTCAAGGCCACCATCCAACAGGCCAGGAACCTTTCTTCGAAATCAACCGAGATGTATACCGCGTCTTTCGCCTTCTTTGAGGCGCTATGGGATGCCGGCGTCACCCACTGCTTCGTGAACCTGGGTTCTGACCACCCCAGCATTATCGAAGCCATGGTCAAGGGTCAGAGGGAGCGAAAGGGGAACTTCCCCAGAATCATCACATGTCCCAATGAAGTAATGAAACTCCGTCTCTTCCGCGTGCGTCCACTTGGGCATGTGCTAATGAGGTATCTAGATGGTCGCCATGTCCATGGCCGACGGCTACGCTCGCCTGACTGGAAAGCCGCAATGTGTTATTGTCCACGTCGACGTAGGAACGCAAGGTCTCGGCGCTGCTGTTCACAACTCGTCATGCGGCCGCGCGCCCGTTTTGGTGTTTGCCGGGCTGTCTCCCTTCACTATCGAAGGCGAGATGAGAGGCAGCAGAACAGAGTACATCCACTGGATTCAGGATGTCCCTGATCAAAAGCAAATCGTTTCGCAATACTGCCGGTACTCTGGCGAGCTCAAGACAGCAACCAATGTCAAGCAGATGGTCAATCGCGCCCTTCAGTTCTCCAAGTCAGACCCTCAAGGGCCCGTATATCTTTGCGGTGCTAGAGAGGTGATGGAGGCTGAGGTCGAACCGTACAGCATTCGTCAAGAGGACTGGCACCCCGTTGAGCTCGGAGGTCTTCCCAAGAACGCCGTCAACAAGATTGCCGAGGCATTGGCCGGTGCAAAAGAGCCCCTCATCGTCACTGGATTTGGCGGCAGAGACCACCAGTTCCCTGACGCTCTCGTTGAACTCGCAAACACCGTCAAGGGCCTGCGCGTTGTTGACACGGGTGGTAGCGACATGTGCTTCCCCGCAGACCACCCTGGCTGGTTGGGACTTCGATTTGGTATTGAGAACGCGGTAAACACTGCTGATGTCATTGTCGTTCTTGACTGCGACGTCCCGTGGATCAACACTCTGTGCCACCCCAAGAAGGACGCCAAGATTTTCCATATTGATGTTGACCCGCTCAAGCAGCAGATGCCCGTCTTCTACATCGCCGCCCAGTCGAGATACCGAGCGAGCAGCCTGGTGTCAATTGAACAGATTACTGCACACTTAAAGGGGCAGTATGCTGCTCAACTTGAGTCTGCGGAAGCCAAGGAGCGCGAGGCAAAGGTCAAGGAGTCTCACAAGCAACTTCTTGCCAAGATCGAGGAAAAGGCGCAGCCCAAGGCGGATGGCGAGTTCGGCACTGGCCACCTTACCCGGTCACTGAAGAAGCTGTGTCCAGAGGACACCATCTGGGCCATTGAGGCTGTGACAAACACAATTTTCGTCCACGACAATCTTCAGCCCACACTGCCCGGATCTTGGATCAACTGCGGTGGCGGTGGCCTTGGATGGTCTGGCGGTGGCGCTCTCGGTATCAAGCTGGCAACCGACTTTGAGAACGGTGGCAACAACAAGGGCAAGTTTGTTGTGCAAATTGTTGGCGACGGCACATTCCTCTTCTCTGTGCCAGGTAGCGTATACTGGATCGCCAAGCGATACAATATCCCTATTCTGACGATTATTCTGAATAACAAGGGTAAGTGGTTAACGAATCCTTCTGGTGAGTTTGAAACGAAAGCTGATGTGACGATAGGATGGAACGCCCCCAGGCGGTCACTTCTTTTGGTGCACCCTGATGGTGAAGGTTCCAGGGCGACCAACGAAGAGATCAACATCTCATTCGACCCGGCACCCGATTATGCCGGCATCGCCAAGGCGGCCGCGGGTGGAGACTTGTTTGCTGCTCGTGTAGACAACGCGGCGGATCTTGATGGTGTGCTGAAGAAGGCTATTGAGACGGTGCAAGGCGGTCAGCCCGCTGTTTTGGATATCAAAGTGGCCCTGGGTTCATAGATATAGCGTTGACGAAGTAAATCGGAACGGTGAAGGTAGAAGACCGGTATAAGCGAATGGCTTGAGGTATCTTCACCAGGCTGATAGAGCATGACCTGGTAGATTTAACGCTTGTTTTCGCAGACGTAGATGGATCGTCGCGGGGCTCACACGGCAGAATAGAGAGTGACCGGACATTTGAAGTTTGATTGGGATACGATAGCGCTCGGAACTTCGTCGGGCGAGCATGGGTGACCCTTAGGTGTAAGTAAAACTCTAGAGATGCTGCAAGAAATCCATCGACGACCGCGACTTGTCACCTTGCTTCGCGATGGGATCATGTTCGCTGGGTAGCTTCCGACATTAGTAGCCACACAGACGGAGGGTCCTGTTGAGATGGTATCGTTGAATATGAGAGCTGTTCGTTATCATCGCTGCAATAGGCTGCGGGCAACGGTGAATGAGGCCAAAGGAGCCCAAGTAGCAGCGAGACCTAGACCTAGACTTCCCCTAACCCAGCGGGTAGATCTCCCCGAGAAGCCGGCCAGAATCATGGCTAGTCTGCGTGGTGTGTGATGTACTGGCCATGGATGATAATCAGGGGATGGATGGGTGGGTTTTGCGGCACAAGCCTGGGGATAGGTAAGTATTCGATGCCATGTTAGTCGACTGAGTCGGGAGAAGGAAGTGGTGTGGTGTGTAGCCGAGATTTCGATGTGTTTGCCACCGATGGGTCGTTTGGACAGGGACACATTGGATGTTCGTAGCATTATCGTCAGTTTGCCGTCACATCGAATCTGCAGCGGCGTGGGAAGATGCAGAAAAAAAATCAATGGCAATTCAAGACACATTATTGAAAAGCTCCACCAGCCAGCCAGTCAAGCTCGGTGTGGAAAGAAAGCCTAAAAGATCTGGAAGAGCGTTCCGTCAGCTTTCGAGAGCCTGCAGTGATGCCTGCCTCAATTATCCGGGGGCTCGTGCATCAAATCTGGTCATTTGACAAGCAAAAAAGGGACCCCTAAAACTCCACTTTGGGCCACCATCGGCGCCTGCCTCCAAAATAAAACCGGGGGGGGGGGGTGAGGGGTGGGGGCACAGCACCGGCCAGGCCAATGTCTGTGCTGCTCTTAGCTCTGTCGAACCCCTGCTCAAATTCATCACTACACCACATGGATGGAAGGTGCCCGCTGAGGGGATTTGGAGGAAGCACACACTCCAGGTTTGCGACAGGACTGTGAACGAGGAAGGGACCAGTGCAGGGCAAGGCAGGAAAGGGCGAGCGGATACCACCTGCAAGACAACACCATACAGGTGCCTTATGCGTGTCTCCAACCTATCGAATTCCGCAATGTAAGGTAGCCGCAGGCATTGTGCTTGGGTGAATGAAATTCCGTTGATATCAGGGCATCCCATCTGCTATCGGGCCTTAACGGGCACCTAATCGCATCTTAGTCATGTCCCGTCGCCAGGGAGCCCCTCACTTATTACACGAGAATTTGAACCGTCACCGCGGGAGCCGAGCTATCTCTGCAGCCGTTCTGCCCGATGCGAGGCGATGTAAACCCAAATTCGAGGGCGCGGCTGCCATGTTGTTCGTGTGTGTAAGAGTGTGCGAGCAAAATGTGTCAATTCCAAGTCAGCAGGCGTTATTTCTGTGATCCTTCTTGAGATCCATGTAAGGTATGGATGGATGACTGTGTACGTAAATACCTGCCTTGAGGTACCATACCAACCTACCTTACCTACCGGGACATACCTTAGGTAGAGGAGCTGGAGGGAAGGTGTAAGCTTCACTTTAAAATAGGAAGGAAAACAGAAAACTCGAGGAAGGCACCAAGGATGGCAAGAACAAGGATGGGGAAAAGGCAATACGGGCAAGCGGGCAACAAGGAAGGGACTGCCTCTACGGAGTATGTACATATGTACTTTCACACAGTTCCATCCTCGGCCTGTGGAACCTGCGTGCCTGCCTCTCCACCTCCACCTCCACGTCCGCCTTCCCAAAATCCCGGCCTCCTTCCGAACAGTGAAATTTCTCCAAAATTTCAACCGCTCATTAAAATGTCCCGGACTCCCATCCCGACCCGGCGCACTCGACAACATTACATGCAGATGCAGACGCAGACCACGATCGACACATAACCGGGGACGTCCACGACGATCTAGGATCAGCAAATTCATCAATACACATTCGATAGGTGCCCATCTGGCTAAGGCAGCGCACTAGCCCTTCCGTTATCATCCCATTCTTCTTACTATTTGGCCATCCTCTTCGCCACCTCGGCTCACCTCCTGTCGTGGTTCCTGCATATCTCCTCTCTCGCCCCAACAACAAGTCAGCCAGCCACCACCAGCTTGGAGTACTTGTCGACTCATCAGGTGGTCATCCACTGATACCGCAATTTTTTGCCCGCCAAACTACTACAACATTTCTTCCGTCGGTCTATTCAGCCCGTCTGTCCCCCGCTATCTGCTCGAGTACACAAACTGCACGGCTTGTTGAAGCGCGTTCCCAGTCAGGTCGCCTCCGCAGAGAATAATACGACTTTCCATCCCCTGTGCGGCACTACCTACGCTTCCCTGCTTGTACACTTTGCACCGGCGACGTCCGCTGCATCGCACCAGCTCCAAATCCCATCAGGCAAACGCCACCCATAGTCTGCTGTTCTGCGGCCTGCCCAGCCTTTTGCTTTTCTTGCAGGTGGCACCCAATTTGTTCTCAGCGCATCGCTTCGCCTGCAGCTCCAAGCCGTCCTCTTCGCCTTCATCGTTGTTTGGTCTGCCACCTACCTGCAGTTGCAGTGTGTTTGGCCATTAATACAGCACTTTGTAGGGTCCTCGACTTCAGACGATCGCCGATCCCTCCACCGCAACGGGGATGCCGTGTCTTTTGGGCTCTCTTCGCCTACCGCATGCCTGCAGTTCCCCGCACTAGCTTCGAGATCAGCAAAAAGATTGTGCTCTGTCACAAGCACCTTTACCAGTAATTCAACCTTGTCGGTCCAGACCACCACCACGAACCACCGATACCACCACCAACGATATTGCTCCGAGCGAGACATTGCCAACCGAACCACTTGCTTTGCTTTAACCCCCCAAACGAGACGTGCAGCCGCACCGCATTAATATTGACCGACCTTTTCGAGCCCCTCTTGACCACCAAGAGACACCCTTGGTGAAATATCGCCTTGCGCCGATCATCAGCTTGCCCCTCTGCTCGCCCTTTCATATTTCGCGGCCGAACGACGATAATTCCATCCTAGTAGTCGAACCACGATTTCACGCCAAGTTCCTTCTTTTGTTTCAAGGACCAAGTCTGTTAGCTTGTCTTAGAACGGCTCGAAACTACGCCATTCGGGCCAGACCATTTGGGGGCCACCTGCGAAAGAGCCTCCCCGCGATACATTCCGACCCCCGCAAGCCGAATCTGGCCGAGGGAACTGCAACTGTGCAAAGATAGTAGTTTGGGCCATGAAAGTTGTGTGAAATAGCTCAACGGTACACACATCACACGGCTCCCGTCGGGGCTTTTGCTTATGATTATTTGTTTTCTCGAAGCGTCAGATGCTCGCTGTTGCCCACGCCGAACACACCGAGACACTACTCTCGTACCCTAACCCGACGTCATTGTCGCCTTATAACCATCCCCGGTGTGTCCCCCAGGACCAACACCAAAGCACCGCAGGGATGACTCCGAAGCCTGGTGAGGACGGCCTGCCTCTGGAGCAGACAGACTCGAACGCGAGCGCCGTCCCCGACCTTCCGCCGCCGCCGAACCCTTCGTCCGATCCGCGACTGAGCGTTGCCGACTGCGATAGCCCCCCGAATGTCCCCGAAAACACCGATGTCTTCAAGTTATCGCCTAGGGCGGCGATGAAGCTCTTGAGTGGTGGAATCGAGGCTCTCGTGAAGATAACAGGCGATATTCCTCCAACACCACCTCCTACAAGCCCGACACTACCCAATATGCGAGGAATGGCGGCAGAGAAGGAGCTCATTCGCACAAGCTCACAAAAGAACCTGGCTCGCATGCGCAAGGAGGCTGAGGCTGCAGCCGCAGCTTCAGCGTCTTCGCCTCGTCGACCACCGATGATGTCCCAGATGAGCGGCTCGAGTAGCTCGACACCACAATTAATAGACGGTGTCCATCTGCGGCAGACACAATCGCCGACACCACCACCGCCACCGAAAGCACCCGAACCACACATAATAATTGGGGAGAACTCGCAGCCGATTAATCTTCAGCATAGTGCAATCACGCGCAAGTTCTACTCTAAGAAACCGCCGCCCATTGGTATCGACGAATATCTAGCGCGAATCCACCAATGGTGCCCGATGAGCACTGCTGTGTACCTTGCTACTAGCCTGTATATCCACCGCTTAGCCGTTGACGAACGAGCGATACCTGTGACGCGGCGGAATGCGCATCGATTGGTTCTAGCGGGACTTCGGGTGGCAATGAAGGCGTTGGAAGACCTCAGCTACCCGCACAGCAAGATTGCCAAAGTTGGAGGCGTTAGCGACGTCGAGTTGGCGCGCTTGGAGATTAGTTTTTGCTTCCTGGCGAACTTTGAGCTGGTGGTCAGAGAAGATACGTTGAAGAAGCACTGGGAGGTTCTGAAGCAGGAGCAGCCATTGAGGCTCATACATCCCAGTATACCGAATTTGTCGTTGAACAGGAGGCCTAGAGAGTCGGCGCACTCCGGACAGGAAAACCAATGGAAATGAGGAGGGCATAATGAGAAGACCTGAGGGCAATGGGATAGGTCACTGTGTTTGCAGCATGGTTGTGGCATTTGAAGGAGCAAGAGCGCATCATCACATTGCATTGCAACGGTGTACTTCTGGGTATGTTACGTCTGATACCGATTCGCTTCATGGTACAAAGTACACTCTTAATGGAGCGGGGCTATCTCCTTGGTGTTGAATATAACTTTTGAGGCTCCTTTTGCTTGAGTTGAAGACGACGATGGTGGTGGGTGCTGGTGTAATCTTTAACAATCCCTTGGCAATCGACTTTGTTGACAAGTTTACTGTTCTCTGAATGCGAATGCCGCCACGCGACAATATGAACATTGACTTTCGTCTCAACTGCTGTTTCTTCCTGGATAGAGGTAGGGATCTAAGATGCGATGACATGTGCCTCAACCCAATTACCTACCTTACCTACCTACAAGGGATCGCGTGCGAAAAGTGGCTCATCGATAAATAGCGATCAAATTAAAGCTTATCGATTACTTGGGTACCTGTACCTTATTAAGGTATCGCGTCGCGTTACGCTTGGCAGGAACACTCACTGGAGAAAGTCTGCAAGTTGGATGGGGTGTGCCTGCCCAGAGTCGCATGTTGCCTGTGGAAAAGGAACGGAACCCCTCAGACCCGCTTCTAACGGGTACCGTGCGCATGGCGGAGGCAGCTGCAGCCAGCTTGGTTCCCTACCTCCCCTTACCTTGAAGCTCAGAGCTCCGCCGCCTCGCCCGTGCCCCCCCCCCCAATCTGGAACCTGGACAGACTTTCTCTTCCCAACTCCCGCTTGTCGTTGATTCAATCTCAATTCAATCTAGACATTGACGCCCGCCACGTTCTTTTACGCCTGTCTTTACGCGCCCGATCTGTTCCAAACGTCTACGCGATCAATTGACCGATTGCTATCGCGACAAACCATGCTGCCCGACGCAGTCTGATCGAATCACTCTCTCAAGTAAAACCAGGCACACTCGCGACCGAACCGGTTACAATGGCCGAAGAATTCAATAACGACGTCGAGACTGTTGAGGACGCCCCTGCCAATCCTGGCGCCGACGTCGAGATGGCCGAGGAGGGCGATGCCAACGCTGAGGAACTCCCCTTTGCCGAGGGCGGCGAGAGCGACCCCGTCGAGCCGCGCACCACTTTCGTCAGCTACCTGTCCAGCCCCGTCGTCACTCTCTTGGTCGGGCAGGGCGAGTCGGAAGCAATTGTTACAGCTCATCAGGCGCTTCTGGTGCAAAGCCCCTTCTTCAAGGAGGCCTGCGCCCAGTTCAGCGACGATGGTAGCGTAAGTGGTCCTCCCACGTTGCGGCATTCACCCGGCGCATTCTGCATTTCCCCGACGTTACTGACTCAATGCGCAACAGCCGCGCCAAGTCGAGCTCGTTGGTGAAGACCTCGACTCGGTCGGATGCTTCCTCGAGTTCCTCTACACAGGAGAGTACTTCCCCCGCAAGGTAGCCGGTTCGCGCACACTCGAGCAAGACCCCTCGACTCCCGAAGTCGATGTAGACGGCACGCAGCTGCTGAAGCACGCGCGCGTTTACACCCTGGCTGAGAAGTTCGGTGTCCCAAGTCTCCGCTCGCTCGCCAGCTCCAAGATCCACTGCGTCAACTCGACGGCCAAGGGCGAGATCGCCTACGCCCGCTACGTCTACGCCTACACTGGCAAGGACGACACCACCATCCGCGCTCCCGTCGCACAATTCTGGGCCATGCGCTCGCATACCCTCCGCTCCGAGGCCGAGGACGAGTTCCGCTCTCTATGCTTGGAGTACCCCCAGTTCGGATACGACGTGCTTAGTATGTGGCGGCGCTTGAATACGGTGAAAATAATGACTATGCTAACTACCAATAGCCCGTGTCCTCGACGACAAGCTCAAGAGGGAGAAGAACGACAAGCTGCACCCATCATCATCTCAAGGAAGCGCTCGCAAGCGTGCGCGACACAGCCAGATCTAGAGCGACAGGGAGCGAATTCAACGGTGCATTTCTTGCGTGGCGTTTGCTACCATGGTTTAGGGATCTTTTTGCGATGGAGCTTTTGGCATTTCCTGGAACCATTCGCCATACCCCCTGATTCTCGTACAACACTGGGGCGGAGTAGATGCGATTGTGCAAAAAGGCGAATAGGAAGTTGTTTGATTTCTTTGCAGACTGCTATGCCCGGTCCTGCTGTACGCGTATTGTCCTGGTATATAGGAAGCCGTGGATACCACTGTGGGAAATATTTTGAAGACCAACTTGCTGCCTGTGGGTCTGGGAGCATTGCATATATGTATACTAAGGTATGGAGCTACAAAGCAATGCCTTTCGTCCGGACCGTGTGTCTGCTGTCACCATGTTTGTCGTTTGATGAAGGACGAGTTTGGTGCTGCGCAGGGACTAAAGGGGGGCCATTGTGACACACGCCTCGTACCTTTCCGCCTTCCCTCGTTCTTTTTCTTGTTTTTTTTTTTCTTTTTTTTTTTTTTTGTGTGGAATTCCACTTGATAGTATGGACGCAGTGGATTATGTGATGAATATTGCACTCTCTTACTTGTCGCTTGTTTGCTATAAAAATCCTGAGACGAAGGTGGTCAAGCGTTTGATATACGATTTTGTAGAAGGCATCAACCTTCACCAATGTCTCACCGAAAGCTGTGCCCCAAGTGGGTTCGGCGGGGCTCGGTGAGGCACAGCTACCCCAAAAATGCGGGGTACGGGATGCGGTCCGGGTTAAGAAAGAGTTTCTCCGCCCAGTCGGAGGACGACGCTCCATTTGATCTATCTGAGGCAGCATTCGGAACCTCGGATTGGGGACAGATTCGAAGTAGATGAACCAGATCGGAGTAGCCAGGTAGATAGGTGTAGGACCCTGGACAGGGTCTGAGATGCCGTCTTAAATGAAGATGCCACCCCCCAGACTCCCCGTCTTCTGTCCCTCCATGACGTCTCTTCATCGTCGCCATTGTTACTTAATCGTGTAGAAGCGCTTCGGATGGGTGATACATCATGAGTGCAATCGCCAAGATTCTCGGGCTATCGGCCTACACGGCTCTCGTAGCAATCTCCCTCCCGTACATCCAACAACACAATATCCCCTCCCGTCTCCAAACATCACTGAACAGGATCCTCTCCCCACCGACAGATGATGCCTTTTCTGAACCCGAAATCTGGACATCAGAGCCCTACGCCTGCCAATCCCAAAACTACACCACGCAAATCGTCTCCCTCGATCCCTTGGTAATCTACATCCACAACTTCCTCTCCGAAGCAGACATCGCATCCCTCCTGGAAGCAGGCGAACCAGCCTTCAAACCCTCCTACGTCGTCAAGAATGGCAGAACGCAAGGAACGCCAGATAGAACCTCCTGGTCCGCTGGTCTCCCTGCCGACGATGTCGCCGTGCAATGCGTGCTCGCCAGGGCGGAAGGGTTCCTGGGCACGATGATGGCGCCCGGGCGGGACGAGATTGGACCGCCCCAGTTGGTGCGGTATACAAAGGGCCAGAGATTCAACGTCCACCACGACTGGTACGATGATTTCCAACCTGATGTTAGGACAGGACGAAGAAGGAAGTGGAACCGGGTGGCGAGCTTCTTTGCGATTTTGGAGGACGAGTGTACGGGTGGCGAGACGTGGTTTCCCAAGATTGAGGCTGTTACGCCGCAGCATCGGAGGGTGGATGATGAAGGGACCATGTGGAGGAAGCACAATGATGGTGGGATCGCGTTCAAACCTGTGAGGGGGAATGCAGTGTTTTGGGTGAATTTGCATGAGAATGGGACAGGGGATGGGAGGGTTGTGCATGCTGGGTTGCCTGTTGGGGATGGGCTGAAGACTGCGATGAATATTTGGCCGAGGACGTATCTTGGGCCTGAGGCTTGGCGGGAGGGAGAGGGGCCGGAGCATGAAGGTGAGAGTGTGCTGGGGGCTGAGAAGGTGAAGGTCGAAGAGAAGGAGGAGGAGCTTATTGTTGATGATGCTGAAGCTGATCCCATCTGAGGTAGGTAACCAAGCCAGCCTTGGGTAAGTAGGTAGATCTCGTGGAGAGCATATTCAAACATCTGAAGCCGCCCACATCCCGTTTTCCCTCTCGTTATTGAGTACTTGGACATGATTCTGTTCAACTTGAGCACATTAGGTCCTTGACTTACTGCAGAACTTCCGGTGCCGAAGCATGAGAATGGCCATGCCAAAAGAAATTGATCTTAGCTTCGAAAGACACTCCAGAAAAAGGTAAGCTAAATACTCCCACTACGAGGCAGCAAATCTCCCGTAGGTCTTTCCTTTGTACATACATCTTACTTTACCTTCTGAATTGTTCTTTCCTTCACTGACCTCATCATCTCGAATACCGAAGGTACCCAAGGTACCTTCCCTCGGCCAACTCTCCATCGTTTCCTGCCTTGTATTCATATAAAGGAGACCGCGGTCTTTCTTTCAATTGCAGTCTATATGCTTTCTTTCCTTTAGCCCACTCAAATATCGCGTCAAACTCAACCCACGCAAAAGCTTGCGCACTCGCGGCTGCCTCTTCCACATGATAGGCATCCCATCTTCAAATTTGCCTCTTCTGTCGCTTCCCGAAGTTCTCTACCTCTTCCCTCGACCGCCACGCCGACTTCCCGACGGAGCGTCCTCAAATTCTCGGCAGGTACCATACGGAAGCCCATTCATTCGACCCCAGAGCACTACCATGGAGGGTGCTGTCGCACGCCACCGGCACAATGGTGAAGCCGATGCCGTCAAGAATGAAGAGGACAATGGGCTGCCGAAACCCATCCAACTCGCCGGCACTTTTTTCAAGCTTCAAGATCGTGAATTCTCACCAGACAACTCAACCGATGGCTACACCTCTTCCCAAGATGATCCAGAAAAGGTGGTCTTCCTCAACGACCCTGGCAATTTCATCATCGTTACCCTACTCAAACGGTGTCATCGACGGTACACGATTGACAAACCGCTCACGATTGACTCTTACTACGTCGGCATCAATGCGACCGACTTCACGCCCGCATTCACTCGCAGCGTCGCTGTGAGCTCGCTGAAAAACAATACCTACGAATACACTGCGCGCACAGGCTCGAGCATGACGCTTCCGTGTCTCATCATCCCGCCCGTCGATATGCTTCGCCCCAATCAGGTACTCTTTCTGAAGCACTTGTCGAGGGAACAAGGCTACGGGAGCAAGTTCCGAGTCGTACCAGAGAATGAGTTAGCGGAATACAAGAAACAACAGCAGGATGCCTTCGCCGCGGGCCACACATGTCCTTTACTCGTGGCCTCTGCAGAAACTATGCCCGATTACGCCGCCATATCTGACACGAGAGAGGACAAGTGGAGGCACTTTAGACTGATGATGCCGAAGATGCAGGGAATAAGCATCCCAAAAGGTCTCATGAGTGAGATTGACACGTTCCTTGCCAAGTACGAGCGAGATATTGTGTCTCCAATCCTTGCCTTGATCTTAGCCATCATTTATCATGACTGCTACCACGCTCTTGATCTAGGAGCCGAGAAGGGGACGAAGAAGCCCATGAAGCCTGTTCCTTTGGTTTCGCTTGCCCAGATGATATTGTATGGGCCGCACTACTTTCGGATCCACGAGGAACTCAAGCTCTCGGCCTACGTCCACATCTTCCGCGCCGTGGACTACTTTTACGGCAACGATAAGAAGCTCGACGCCTTCGTGATCAACGACGAGGACATCAATACCGATGTTGTTTTCAAGTACATTGATGAGATGGCACTTGACGAGGAGGACTGGCTAGAGATCGTGCCCCCTTCTTGGGAAGGTTCAGAAATTACCATGCCTTTGAACCATGGAACTCGAGCACCGCCCTCCCCAGAGCTTACCGCCCTGCTAATGATGCCCGACATCTACACTTTGGGTTTCGCTGGGTACACTAATGGAAAGTGGCCTGACATGGGCAGGAGGACGAGGGATACGCTGATGCATGGTTTATTCCTTCCAAAGCACATTCAGTCCAACCCCAACCTTTGGCGTCCTGTGGCCGATGAAGAGATTTGCCTCAAGGCCCTGGAGCCCTACCAGGATCAACTCGATCATCAGATATGGTCAGCGCCAAAGATGTCGGTTCGATCGCCCTGGTCTGAGGCGGTGACTTTCGACTCATATTCTGACCCGGACAATGGGGATACGCAGGTGTCATATGAGCTCGAAGCCGAGGACAGCAATGTCGGTAGTCCCTCCGGTCCATGCATCACACTTGACAAGAGTATCCAAGACACCAAGGACTACTACAAAGTCTTTATCAAAAAGATCCGACAGGGTCAGAACGCAGGGCTCATCGACAAGTCCGTCACATTAGGCCTAGATGGCCATCTCACGTGGCCTGGGTTAGAAAATCAGCCTGCCGGAAGACGCAAATTACCCGGCGGGATCAATCTTCAAAAGCTGATTGCTGAGTACGACGCCGCCGATGCCGATCGCATCTCCAAGATCGATCGTCGCACTCTTCACAAATTACTCCATATAGATCTAGCTGACGGAGAGCATGTGGCCAAATGTGCTCGAGAACTCAAAGCTCGCATCAACATCGACGATGAAGATCTGGGAAAGGCTCAGGTGCGAAAGGCCTTCGAAGACTGTCTACTTCCGACGCGCAACGAGACGATGAGGATTTGGAACGAAGCGGCGTCCGCTTAGAAGACGGGCGACGTGCACGCCGATCGACTTATCGCCTCTTGCGCAGAATTATTGGGCGTCGACGTGACTACAGGCGATGATGGCAACGTTGGCCGATCTTCTGACGACGCAATTGCCGCTATTCGAGCGGTGTATGGAGAGCTTGCCAACGTTTTAACCACGTTTACCTGGCTAGTCACTCACATTGGGAGGGATGGCACCGAGCCAGTGTTCGAGCTGACCATGAAGTTGATGTTCAGCTCGCGGTGCTTCGACTACTGGGATAGGTTGATGTTGTTTGGCGGGCACATCCAAGGTCGGCCTTTGGACGAGGAGGCAAAGCAAAGGTGGGCTAGGCTCTACGGAGAGCCTTACAGAGGCGATGTCGAGAGTGATCAATGATGCGATGATAGTGGTGAGCTGTCCCTGGATCCGACTCTTACTTCCTCCGATGATTTGGCTACACTGGCTAGAGAATTCCTTCCTCTGAAAACGAATCAACAATAACTGTTTTCAAAGGCCACTAGGGAGATACGAGAAACAATCTGGTGGGGATGATTCGTACGTTCAAGGGACACCAAGCTGTACGAGATCTCGAAGACACGTCGTTGATGACCTTCCTTGGACTATGCGTCTCTTTGAAGATGCCTGGAAGGTTTTGGAGGGGGAGAGATCACTAAGATGCGGGCGGAACAGATCAAGATTGTTTTCTGCCTACATTTACCTGTCTGCCTCCCCGAGACCTTTGATTTGTCTCCTCCAGAACTACATGTTCACTCCATAAGCTTTCTTATTGAGATGCAATAAAACACAAGCTCCGTAACCAGTGAGAAGAATACATGACGGGTGATTTACGCGATGTTTTCCCCTTGTGCTGCTTCCCATGATTTTCTACAGAAACCCAGCATGTTTTTTTCACCGACAGCGCAGCGTCACATCAAACCGAGTAGTCGCGGTCATCAACATGATCCAAAACTCTTCCGAATTGTTCAATGAAGGGCTACTTGTTGTCTATATCAGCTTCGCTTCAATACAGAGCTGCCTTCCCAATTTATCACTTATCAAGTTCCCACACCGTGTATCGCGGAAAGTCTTGATTGATATATTGCGTTAGAACGACAAAGATTGTCGAGGATGAGGTGATATCTTTCTACGGCAAGAAGTCCAATACCGCAAAAAGTAGATCCGTGTCGGTGCATTTCCCATGGACAGCTCGAAAAGTCACGGTATAACCGCCTCATTGTTTTTCATCATCACCCAGATTCTCAGACTCGGTCTGCTCAACCATCAACTTCTGAAGCTCTTCGACGAGGTTGCGAGCTTGAGCACCCTCGAAATCAGTCGTCGCAAGGTTCAAGTCGATGATCCACCGCGCCTCCGTCTTGTCCGTCATACCTTTGAGAGATGCGTGCCGCCGCTCGATATCATCGAGTTGCGCCAGGACGCGGGTGGCCTTGTTTGTTCGTATCGCCGAGTGTCGCAGCGCCATGCCCACCATGCCCTGGGCGATTGACCCAAAGACGGGGAACGACGCGTACAAGTCCTCTAGGCCTGCGAGGCAGACGTCCAAATAGAACTTCCATTCATTTCCGGGTTGGCCGTCAGCCCGCAGTGATAGTCCCCCTTCTTGGATCATGGCGTTGGCGACGTAGACGACTGCAGTCTGCCAGAGGACGGAGTAATTCGCGTTCTTGTATCTCAGGCGGTAGAGCAGGAGTAGTCGCTTAAGCTGTGTAACGGACGAGGCATAGACTGCTTCGGGGGTAGCGTGCTGTGTGCTGAAGGAGTAGAGGCGCTGTGATTTGTACTCGGTTGCGAGGAAAGGACGGGATAGATCGGTTACCACGGCGTGGAAGTAAACGCTGTTGGGCCAATGTTAGTCGAAACGCATCATGGGATTCAGGTCTAGGCCAGACGTACTGCAATAGCATGACGCTGTGGTTACTTTCTTCGCCTCTTGCCATATCCAGAGAGAGTGCGCCAGACCAGCAAAGTAGACGGTGATATGTCCCTTCTGCGAATCTCAGTGTCGACTCGAGCGTGGCGCTGTGGTATTGAGGGCCGTAGAATCTTTCCAGTATGTCCTTGAAGATGACCCACATATCGCTCGCGGCACTGAGGAGCTGGGCATGGAATGCGGTCTTGGCTGACCTCGGATCGTCGCTTGGTAGAAATAAGACCAGATCTCTAGGCATCGGCAGCAACGGCGGTGTGTGGATTTCGTGGACGCGGTAGTGGAGGGAAAACACCCTACGTAGGTTAGAGGCGGCTCTCAATAGCAACGTTCATAACATAAAGGCTACTCACGATACCCAATTGTAAACGCCCCAGGCCGTGTATGACGCCGCTCTCGTCCACTCTGTATGGCCGCCAAGCCAGACGGTCGCAGATTCGGCCTCGGACTGAACATTGAAGAGGCCCATCGCTTTACCCAACCTGACACTTTCTTGCAGGAACCGAAGACTCATGTCGTCTTTGCCGTACGTCACGGCGCACATGCTTAGGATTTGAAGCGCAGCGACTGTTGTAACGCTATTGGGTTGCTGCTGATCAGAGAAGTACTGCTGAGATTCCGCGAAAAGAGCTACACTGAAAGCGGCGGCATCAGTATGGAGGGTCGTATATGCTTGCTGTTTGTGTCAGCACCTGATGATCGCAAAGGGATGATGGGCAACATACACATGACCAACTCAACACGGCAGTGACAAGGAACGGAGAGCAAAAGAAATGTTGAACATTAACCAAATCTCGTACAAACAGGTCAGCGTCGAAAAGGGGTAGCGTAGCATAATCAATGTCAAGATAGTGCGATATAATACTGATGGCAAGGTCGTTCGGTATAGGGATGTTTGTCCACTTGCTGATATCAAGCAGACGTAATCGTTCGTCGAAGAGTGGTTTGGGAGTCGCAGCCCCTGTATGATCAGGTGAACCGGTTTTTGATCCTGAACTCGCGTCCTCATCTCGCATGGGAGTCAGGTATGGACCCCCGAAAGGGGAGGCCTGCCTTGAAGACCTGTGACTTATAAGTCAGTACGCCATGGTAGCATTCGGCCGAGCCTCAAGCCATCTTGTGATGGTTGTGCCGGTTGAAGGTACGTTCACAGGCTCCCCTGACAATGAGGATCTGGATTAGAGAATTGATAAGATTGACATACGCATCTTGCTGCCCTTGCTGCCCTTGCAACCATGCCTTCGTCAAAGGCTGAAGTAAGGCTCCGAGAGTCAAGTCCGTGTACGGCATCGGGAACAGGGCAGGATATGCCACAGGGTGTCGGATCGTCAATTCGAAACCAAGGCTGTTCTGCGTTGGTGGGAGAAGGCCTCTAAGGTGTTGCTGATCGGATGGGCGTGCAAGATTCAAAGCATGTCCGGGCGTCTCGTTGCGTAGTTTGCAAAACAATTCGAGGGCTTGTTCTGGCGGAAGTGTTCGAAGAGATTCGAGTATCTCGGCAGGGCCACCTCGTTTGGACTGCTCCACTTCTGCAAGAGTTACACGATGTCGGACGGTATAGGTGTATTCGCAATTCTCCGCTCGTTGATCACACATGACACATCGTGGGAGCCGTCCATCGCACTATCAAGACGGCAGTTAGCACCTCACGGAGAGATCCAAAGCATGTACACTGATTGGCACGTCGAGAAACAACGCCGCAGGACAAATGCAAGACAGGGGAAGCCGAGGCCCACCTTTGTCTTTCGCCTCCGACACGGATCACAGGCGCTGTTGGTCTTGCGTGGCCGCGCAGGACGGCGAAGGCTGATGTTGGGTCGACCAGGCCCAAGGCCGGAACCCCGTACGGTACCGATACCGGGTTCGGCATTGGGATCAGGATTGGAATCGGGGTTCTGCCGTAGGTTGGCCGGTGACCATTCAGCTAATGGCCGTGGCCGCAGCGGGCGAAACGGCGACATGTTGAATGGGTTCGATTGGGTGGCATTTCGACGGCAGTCGCCACCCGTATCAGGTCATTTCCGAACCTGCTCGAGGGAACACCCGCGGACGGTGGACGGGAGGTGGCAATTGCAGGAATGGTGGCGGGGTGTCGTTGAAGAAATGCGGTGAACGGAGGGAGGGAAATCGCAACAAGGGCGGCGGTGCTCAGGCCGGAGGCTTCCGAAGAAAGCTTAGCTGTAATTGGTCTATTCTCAAGGGAGCTTTTTGTTGGCTCGCTCCGGTCTTGCACCAGTCCAAATGCAGCATTCTACGGTCTATGGGGGTCTGGACCGTCGATCCCCCGGTGAGTGCGGGCTGATCGGTGAGCGCCTCACCACGGCAAGGTGAGCGGTGAACACTTTCGCATATCGCGGCTCGTCCATCAGGGTTGTACGATACTGCACTTTAGTGTGCTTACCGGCTGCTTGGTCCTTCAGCCCTACGATCAGCTATGCTTGTCTATGCTTCCCCAGACCATGGTCCTAAGCTGCAGAGTCAGAAACTAATCTTACTTCGCAATTCTAGTCTCCTCATTTATGCACGTGCTTAGCGTTCTCGAATCGCTAGATGAACCTCACCAGTGATTTTGAACTTCGAACCATGCATATTCCAGGATGTCAGCTCTATACACGACCCCATACTTCTCTACTGACAGTCAAGGTTCTATCAATTGTCAACATATCGTTCCCATTTGGCACGCCGCCGGTAGCCGAACGGTTTCATCTCAAAAAAACCAAGTCTGGCACGGGCAAGTAAGCTTTTAGTGTTTACACACTACCTATTGGTGTGTTCGTTAAATGCCCCACGATATCTGAACTTGTCTAAGCTCTTTGAAATCCCCAGAAATCTCGTTTCGAAACCAATACTCGCCCAGACCTGCTGCCAATGCTTGACTGTTGCGGATGTTGGCTCAAGCGGCTAGTTCAGGTCAGCTGCTTAAACCTCGAAGCCCAAGATTGACCTCCAAGCTTTGACAAGTTAATCTATGCTACACAGGATCTGTGTTGCCACCGGTTATATATCATTAGATTTATATGATTGATATAACGAGTACGTCTCCCCCGCATCATCACTCTTTGTGTTCTCGGCTGGACCAATATCGCACCTCTCGTTGGACGACCTACCTTAGTTGAAACGGCTGGATGTAATGGAATGACTTCACGCCTGAACTATCACGGCCATCTAGTCAACCTTTGAGTCGACCACCGCAATGGCCCGAATAGGCACACAAAGAGTAAAGACGGGTTGTACAACCTGCAAGATCCGACGAATCAAATGCGACGAGGCGCGTCCATCCTGCGCGAGATGCATCTCCACCGGCCGCAAATGTGATGGTTACATCTCCCCGCCGACGACGACGTACTCCTGGGCGCAACTCTTGAGATCATGCCCCGTGAACAACGCAACTTCGATTCGGGCTTCACAGCCGACCAGAGCCAGCATTGTCTACGCCGAGCGGACGATGGACTTTTACCGCAAGGTCACGGGGCCGGCCTTTGCTGGGTCACTCAACTCATACTTCTGGACTAATGTCGTGATCCAAATGTCGGACCAAGAACCTGTGGCCAGCCATGCTGTGCTGGCGCTCAGCTCCGTGTACGAGACATTCAGCAACGGATCATGGGAAGCAAGTTCCTTTGCTGTGTGGCACTACAACGAGGCGATCAAGCTCCTCCGCACGACGACAGACCGCGCGCTGATTCTCTTCGTCTGTGTGCTTTTCATCTGCACAGAGCTGATCCGTCGGAACCCAAAAGACGCCACAACTCACTGCCGGCACGGTATAAACATCCTGAATGAGATACATAACGAGTCTGACTTTCTGCGGAACCACATCACACCAGTCATGCGGCAGCTTAGCATCGCGCCATACCGATACGGTATCAACCCAACGACCTTTCCAACAGTGCGCCAACCCATATCGACCTCGACCAGCCGGATTCAGAATGTCGCAGAAGCTCACGCTCGACTCTTGACGATTCACGTACGTCTTGTCCGGCACATGGAATGTGCGTGTATTACCGACCGCTGGCTTGAGGCCGGAAAGGAAGGTCCAGAACCAGACGCGAAATGGCTTCGACAATTCATCCTCATTGATCTAGATGCATGGTACAAGGCATACAGGGAGATGAAGAAAGAGGAGAGGTATACCAGCAAGGAGGAGGACATGATACGGTTGCTAGACATTCGTTATCTCGTGGCCAGGATTGCCCTTTTGGCTTCTGAAAAGAAAGACGAAGGCGAGTGCGTGTATGATGCACACACGGACAAATTCCGCGCCATCGTCGTTCTGGCATCTCAAGCGGAAGGCTCTTCAGAGGCGTCAAAGTCCTCAGCAGGCTGGGGAACCGAAAGCGTCCTCGAGCTCGGCTATAGCTCTCTCCTCTTCATGGTGGTCATCAGGTGCCGCCACCTAAGACTGCGACTCGAGGCCCTGAGGTTGATGAAGAAGCTCATGCAGCCCGAAAGGAATATTTGGGAGAGGAATTTGACATGGTCTATCGCAAAGCGGGTGGTTGAGATTGAGCATAATATCGCTCTCGGCGGTATCATCGAGTTGGACGCCTTCGATACCTCTGATGAAGGCAGTGGTGGATTCGTGCCCGAAGAGAGACGAATAGTTGCGATGAACTTTCGAGAACCGCCGGAAGCCACGATTCCGCCACGGAAAAAGGTGCATTTCTACCTGAAGAATCAGAAGACCGGTGAGATTGTGAAGAGGGAAGAGCATGTAGCAGTATGATACCACTGGGAGATGCGGGCTTTGATCAAATGTGTACAAATTTTCGATTAGTCTGGACTTTTGAGGCCGCTGCCTTTCCATTTCAGTACACATGGACGTTCAAATTGAGCAGCATTAAACATAGTCAATGATATGGATCATCTATAAGAGACTCTTGATGTCTTGTGCTGTAAGCATCCGATCCAACTGCATGACGCCCTCAACCGGCTTCAACCAAGATGCGCGCGTGTCGATAAACTGCTCGACCTGCGGCCTGAGCTTCGTCTCCACGAGGCGGAAATCATCGACAGTACCGAGCCTGAGAATGCTCATACCTGGTAGACCGGAGCTGACGCGGTACATGAGCGTGCCACAGGTGCCGCAGAAGTGATTTGCCATATCGTTGCCAGTCGCGATGGTTCGAGACTGGCTGAAAGACTTCAGGTTCTCCTTACCGCGGATGTGGCGGAGGTGGCTGTCGGCAACGGAGAAGTTGGAGCAAAACATTGAGGAGGAGATTTTACGGCAGTCTGTGCAGTGACAGATGAAGCGATTGAGGAGGCCGCGGCCTTGGGTTGGCTGATAGGGGCTGTTAGTGCGATGATTCTTGGGCTTTGGGTTGGTGTTATGGGATGAATTGATGTGAAATCTTACAAATGAGAGCTGAACGGCGCCACAGAGGCACGTTGCCGTTGCTTCATTCTCCGTTGACCAGCCGTCCTGAGCTACGCCGGCAAGAGGGATGAATGACGGTGAGGTCTTGTCATCTCTGGCGATGGAAGACATGATGTGTGATGTAAATGAGGTAATTTCGATGACTTACTGTGTAATGAATGGTCGAAAACAATATGATTATGGAAGAAGAATTGAAATCAAGCGGATGAGGGGGAAGCGTTGGATATATAGATCATCTGCGAGTTTCGTATAGCATCATGACCTAAGTAAGCCCCTTGGGCTTGGCGGTAGTCTCGAGGCTTTCCCGCCGACCATGAATAACAAACACCTGAATTTCGCCAGTCCAGACCCTCAGATGACTGCCAATCTACGAGGTTCGCAGAAAAGCCCGCTGATCGTGTGGACGTGTTATCACTGCCGGTGACAGGGTGTAATCCAGTTTATGCTGGCACTCAAGACCAAGCAAGACGCATGTGATTACTACATCACTACATCACTTACCTTACTTTGGTCTTCAGTGGCTCCTCAAGTAGGTACCATGGCGTGCGGGGATGCATCGACTCACCCAGGCGCGCAGCAAACGGGAATAAGACGAGGGGCATTCTAGTGCAGTGCCAGTAAGCGCTAGGCACACGTGTTTCGATATGTGATTGCGAAGCTTTGCTTACTTCAGTCGGCCTAACTTCAGTCCCTCAGATTCTGCATCCCCAGGCTTAAACCCGGGCCGCTGGTTTCACTCAATGGAGGAAAGACATTGGGATACAACCTCACTTCACTGAGGAGGTATTCAGGTTCATAATAGGTGGAAGTGAGTCACCCCGCAATTGCTTGGTAATAATATGAACTCATCTATCTTGCTCTATCATCCAGTGAGAGAAAGCAACCCTCTATGACTATTATCAATCCACGCAACCATGTCGAGAAGTTCACTCCCACTGAAAAGGGCCCGTAGTACAACTCAATCGATACGGCGAACGCTGAAGGCGTGTGTGACCTGACCCGTCTCAACACCCATGGTGTTGGTACGCTTCAAGTGATGGAAGCTCACCAATCTACGTCGTATCTCCGGCGTCCCAATTCGAAGCTGATCCAGTATCTCAGGAACAGCAGCATAGAGAATTTCGAGGCTTCCGTCCTCGATTTTAACTGCAATGCCAACGGCCCCCTCCGCGCCAAGCTTCTTCGTGGACCCTGATGCGCGGATACCGATGGTGTAACATCCGTCTGCGCCAACTTTGCCGATAAGGCTGCCTTCGAACGCTTCCATTAGGATAGTGCAGAAACGCCCCTCTCCGCCGACCATCTCAGGGTACGTCGCCATGGCGTTGTAGATATCGGACATATGTTTCACTCTCACCGGTTGGACGCTTCCGTCCTCTTCATTAGCATCCGCGGCGGCGGCAAAGGCAGCATACATGCGACCCATCGAATAGAGAGGTTGCCCGGGTGCAGGAAGATTGCAGCCGTCAATGGCCCACTTGATCTCGTCACCGTCAAGCCCGCTCAAGTCTTCAACAACCTGCTTCACCTTTTCCTGGATCGGATGGCTAGGGAGGTGATAGTCTTCGAAACTCGCACCTAGAGCCTTCGCGCCGCCCAACATGCCCGCATGTTTACCAGAGCAATTGTTGTTAATCTCGGTTGGCGTATATCCAACCCTGGTCCAGGACCTATCCACGACTGGACAGATTGAAGGGTGACCGCCGCACCGCAAGTCTGACTCTTGCGCCCCAACCTTGGATAACATTGACTTTGCCCTCGAGACGTGCCGGTCTTCGCTGTTGTGAGATGCACACATCAAAGCTATATCAGCTCCGTCGAAGCCGTACTTGTCGAAGCCTGGGGTTTCAAGCACTGCGAGAGCTTGCGCTGGCTTAGATGCGGAGCGAGCCAGCGTCATTCGTGAAGGATTGCCGACTGCATAGAGGACCTTGCCATCAGCGTCGACGACTGCAGCGTGGACTGCATGTCTATTTTCAATCACGCCGCCTCTATCGGTGACCACATAGTCTTCGAAAAGGCTTGTCTTTGTCATGCTGAGGCTGAATTACTCGATGTGATGTCGTGGCGGCGATGGAGCACTACGATGTGACACGTGAAGTTGTGCTGAAACTTGCAAGATGCAAATGACTCGGCAGTAAATGCTCTGATCTGGATGCGCGCGACTTGCGTAGCTCAAACCTCGGAACCAGTGTGTGCGCCTCTCTATTTATTTTTCCAGCGAGCTCTGTATTGTAAACGAATATTAAATAAATATGTGGGTTGATGAGTTGAGTTGGTGGATGTACCTTATTCATTGGGGAAACCTCCAAAGGGCGTCGTTTGACAGTGCAAGGTCCCCTGCGCCCGAAGAATAAGGGTCCAATGCGTCATGTCGGCCAGCGAGCTTACGTTACTGCATCGGGCACATTGTAGGATTGCGGGACTGGCGTTTTAACCAATTGGAGGCACGCAGATCCCATTACTCAGTATGATTCATAGCACACCATCTTGTTGATTCAACGCTGAGAAGTGTCCTCCGAAACTTGCTGCTTAAATAGAGTATAGTGGTGTCTCTATCAACTGGCAGAACGCGTTTGTCAAGTACAATGTCCAAGTCTGCCGCCGACCTAAAAGAGCGATTAGGTTATGCTTCGGGGCAGATGATTCGAATAGTCACCCAAATATCTCGCACCAGAGAGTGTCGAGATATCACTTGAACAGTCGGTTGGTGGTTGACGTGATAAGGGAGATTTTCTGGTTCGAAATCCAAGTTCTGTTCAACTCCAGAGAAATTGAATTCACCAAAACTTCGACGACTAATTATCGTAACAAAACCCAATAAACAGCGGTAGAGAACACGAAGAACAGAAAGTCCAAGACTTCAATCCTATTACGCACAATACAATTACTTTTACAAAACTTATTAGACCGCATAACTCAAAACGACCAAAGTACCTCACCAACTAGGAAAGGCGTGCGCCCTTTCATGTGAAAATGACTCTTGACCCAGTGTTGCTACCCCACAACCGGAAGCCGTCCCGGTCCGGCACCGGTGTCGGTTTTTCAAGACTCTTTGTCATAAAAACCTAGACTACCCCACGGGGGATGTAAAGAAATTCAAGGTGCATCTCGAAAGCGTTTCGACGGAAGGCCTGTACTGAACGACGCATCTTCAACGTCCCGGTGCTTCAGTCAAGATGTCGGTTGAACTGCGCCCGATGCCGAACTCCGGCGCGGTTGCCTCGGCGCCGCAGAGTGATGAGGAAGACGGAAACACCTTGATCCACACTATGCCGCCGACCGACAAGGGCGCTGCAGCATGGAAGTTTCTGCTTTCCAGCTTCGTTATTGAGGCACTTCTATGGGGTATTTCTTAAATTCTCCGAAAGAGTCTGACGGGGCGGTGTCACTAACTTTTCCAGGATTTCCCTTGACCTTTGGTGTCTTTCAGGAATACTATTCCTCCCAACCACAATTTGAGGGTGACTCCAATATCGCTGTCATTGGCACGGTATCCACGAGTATCTATTTCCTCGGAGCGCCGCTCGCTGCGCCTGTGGTGAAAAGATTCCACCGATACCAGAAGCACATGGTCGTCGTCGGCTGGGCGATGTGCGTCGCGTCTCTGGTCGGCGCGTCCTTTGCCACCTCAATCGCGGGTCTGATCGCAACCCAGGGTGTCTTGTACGGTTTTGGATTTCTGATGCTCTACTTCCCGGTGTTGCGGATGTTGAACGAGTGGTTCGTCGCCCGGCGCGGACTTGCATATGGCGTTCTTTACGCCGGCGGCGGGTTTAGCGGTGTTGGGATGCCTTTCCTGCTGCAAGTACTGTTGTCCAAGTATGGATACCAGACTACGCTCCGGGCTGTAGCTGTCGCTCAGTTCCTTGGGGTTGCGCCCATTCTACACATGATCAAGGGCCGACTGCCGCCGTCCCCTCACGGTGCCATGCGCATGTTCGACGTCAGCTTCCTGAGACAGCCCCTATTCTACTGCTTCGCACTCTCGAACTTGTTCCAGGGTTTCGCTTACTACATCCCGTCTTTGTATCTGCCCTCTTACGCTAGTGCCATCGGGCTTTCTGGTACCATGGGGGCGCTTCTCTTGGCAGCGCACAACTTGGCAACCGTTTTCGGGCAGATTGGTTTCGGATGGCTTTCCGACCACACGAACAACGTCTTTATGCTCATCTTCGTCTCTTCTTTTACGTCGGCGGTGGCGGCCTTCACTCTCTGGGGATTCGCCCACTCTCTGCCGCTGTTAGTCATCTTTGCACTGGTCTTTGGGATGTTTGCTGGAGGCTTCCTCATCAACTGGCCGAAGTTTGGGGCGATGCTTTCCGACGACCCGCAGCCCGTGTACAGCATGATGGCGTTTGGCAAGGGCATCGGGAACTTGGCCACCGGCCCGATTACTGCCGGATTATTAACCAAGCCGGTGAGCGGAGGGTATGGGATGGGCCGTTATGAGTCGCTCATTTTGTTCTTGGGCTCTTTCATGCTTTGCTCTTCGTTGGGGGCCTTCGCTTGGCCTTTGAAGAAGCGAGCTTAAGAGTCATTGATTCAGTACAACCAGTCGGTACGGAAAGATCGCCCGGTTGCCCATTTCTTGCCCACGATATCCGGTATCTAAGAATCAGAGCTTTGAAGCCGTTGTCCCAGTCTACCATCAGCGCGAGAATTCGTGGGAACGCCTGCCTTTCCGACACCTGCTGGCTATCAGCTGATGCATTGTCTTGGCCGTGGCTCAAGCAAAAGTCATTTATAGTAAAATACTGGGGAAACCTGACTCAAGAAGAATTTCGTCCGCCGAAACCGAGTCAAAAGTTGATGTCCCTCCCTAACTTACCCAATTACCTTTCAGAAAACTCATACATGGGCCCCTGCTTAAGCCTATGAACGATTGATAGCCCGCTTGGCGTGGAGAATATTCTATAATATCCAGCAGCCCTATGAAGGCTTCGCCGTCCCTTCGAGGCCTGCTCAAGAGCTCACTGTCAATTTGATTAAGTCTCTGGTTTGAGAACGACGTCAAATCGCCCCAAATTAGCATCGATGACGTAGATCGCAATCTCTAAACACAACCTTAAGTGTCCGAAATTTGTAGATAAAGAGGTCCTCAATCCACCAACGGAATGCGCCTGTTGAACACATTCTTGTGAATGATTTGAAACTAAGGATCACGACTCAGCCGAGACACATAGTCAGGTACCTAAGATTATTCTACCAGACACCATCAGTCACCCAGACTAAACCCAGAAGGCCATGCGTTCATTCGCCGTAAGCATCACGCTGCTTTCCTTCCTTGCCACAGGATCGATTGCCCAGAACAACGGTATCACACCTGTGACATGCCAGCCAGAGACAGTAAACTGTGTTAGTCCGAACATTAAGCTGTCACGGTTCGCAAACATATCTAATCTTGCTTCCTTCAGGACTCAACGGCAGACTGTGAAGCAAAGGGCAAGCTTGGCGGGTTTCCCTGCCCTGCTGGGTCCGGCCAAAACGATGCCGACTGCTGGATTGCCTCAAGTTCCGATCCCAGCGTACAAATGACCGTGCAGGTACATCGTTCACTTCAATCCCTTTCTATGGATGCTTCGTGTAAGATCTGCTTGCTGACATATCTCACGCAGTGTTGGTGTTGCAAGGCATCGAGCAAAAAGATGTTTCGTGCCTAAGAGCACTTGAATAGCCGATCAATTTAAGAAATCTTTCTGTTTAAGCAGGCAACATATAATTGAATCCGTTAGTGCGTCGTCGGATTTAGCGGGTATCTCGAGCGGCTGGCAAGTCTCTGTTGTGCCAGGGCGATGGTGTCCGTACAGAACAAGCCAGCGACCCTTGACTGAGCTAAAGTCTTCTACAAGGTACAGCATCGAAGCATGATCTTGGTCGATTGCATCAGGATCTGTCCTAGTAGAAAGGAAAATGCATTTGATAACACCAGTCATCTAAAACTCAGACCCCTTCGGTTCGTGGCTGCGTCTGGTTTGTGTCCCCACTCGCTCCTGTGATACCTTGAGTCCATGTTCGAGCTCGGGTTGGGCTGAAGCTAACCGTCGCCCTTTGCCGATGGATTTCTCGAATTGCAACTCGGAAGGGTTCGGTGAACTTTAAGAGAACATCCCAAATGTACTTGACAGGGCCAAAGAGATCAAACAGGTACGCCCGATACCCTAGGACAATTTGGGTTGAAATTTTGCGAAACCGTGAAGAGCCGAGGTAGAGACAGGAAACAAAGGCAATGAAGTATGTGAGAATGGGTACTGTGATAAAGCTTTCCTGGAATCCGTCGGGTACCTTTGGCTTTCCACCATCGGAGGGACTGTTCAGAAATGGAAGCGCCCAAAACGTCTTGAGAGCATTGTCAGTATTCCACCGGCGATTGCAAGCCAGCTGCTCAGTTGATATACAACACGTACCGCCATGAACCCAATGGGGGTGTACAAAATCGTAAAGGCAGTAAGCACGTAAACAGATCTGTTCAACGCCATGCCGTTGTTGGTCTCCCGCAAAGATGTTGCGTTAAACATCTAAATGATATAGCGAGAGCCCTCGAAGACATGAAAAATGAAACTTCACTGGGATGATGTTGCTTACGCTTTCTTGATGCACCTTGAGGTCTTCTATTTGCTGATTGACACGACCCTGAAGCTTTTTAGTTGATACACTGATGGACTCGGCGACGTATTTCCAGCTTTCTTTCACGCCATTCAATTCGTCGTCACGTATAGTCTGAGTAGCAGAGGACACTGCTTCGAGGAAGTGCCTGTGGTTTGCTCCGAAGTTGGACGCTGTTTCTTCCAGAGAATTCGAGGCAAGCTTGAGGAATTGAAGCAATGAAAAGTATCTTTTGGATACCTGCAGTGACCGATCGAACATCAATTCGTCCAGCCGATGCGTGTCCTGGATTTCATGCATCTACGACAACTTGAGCAAGCACTCAACATCGTTTGCAGTAGTGGGGCGTGTACACCAATGTGTTCCTCCATGAACGGCATAGAGGTAAGTAGGTAATATCTAAGCTGGAAGTCAAAAGATTTTAGGAAAGTATTAACTAACCTGTATGGACGTTTCAACTTCAATGACATCCAATATCTCATGACAGCGCTGCTCCCAGGTACCCATTATTGTGAAAATAATGAGCAAATGATGGCAAATTCCAGAAGGCTAGAGGGATTGTGTAGGCTCTTTGCTATTCCTCACTAAGTTACTCAATGATTCTGGAGAAAGATTGTGTTCCACTTTGTCATCAGCTAGTATGACGGTTGTGTACTTTGAACCTGTCGAAATCTCGTCCAGAGTAGTCACCACGGTTGATCTCCTTTCAAGGACCGTAGATCTCCGTTCATCCGACATAATGTCTCTCCACTTCCCGTTGACCGTGGTCCGCGTCTGTCTCAATGTCGAATACTTTGCCAGTGGGACCGAGTTGATCCGTCTGAAGATGGAAAAGAGTAGGTCTATCACAGAACCTCCTGCTCCTTCAAGAACGCTCGCCGCTAACATGACCGTCAACGAACCAGGCCCAACTTGTCGAGCCTGTTGATGAGTGTAGTCGCTGTCAGACGGGTCTGTGGGATATTGTGGCCCAAAAATACTCCCAAGTTCTCTGCACAGCAGAATGCCTTCCTCATGTGTTTGCTGATCCTCTATGTCCGGGAAATGTATCAACTGAACCCAGTAGCTTATGCTAATGACAAGTCTCATGGATCCTCGACCTGCTTCCGTCGGATCAGATGGCCGTGTAAATGTTTGACATTGAGAACGGCGGTGGGTCGTAATGTGGCGAGGGAGTATGTAGGAGGAAATGATTCCAATGATTTGTTCCGAGCTCGCAGGTGAAAGCCAACTTGATAGAGAGGCCAATACTGGTATGCTCAATGTCGATCTCCTAAGAACACGCGACTTGACCATCCTGTTCCGTTGACAATTATCATTTTACTGCGCCAATGTGCTAAGGAGGGAAACAAACAATCTCAACGTACCAAACTTTACCCAATGGTGTCTCGACCCGATCCTATAGTGTTAGTATTAGTATGAGAACCTCACGATATCTTTTGTCTACAGGGTGTTGAACGAACCGTTTGACTGGAGAGAAACGGTGTCCCAGACTGATTCACGGAGTAGCACGCGCCTCCGGAACTTGATGGACTTACATCCGGGACGAAAAGCTCGCGCGTTCCATGACGGATGGTTTTGAAGTTTGACTGACAAAAGCTACGGATCCTTGATCTAACGCATATATAGAGCTCACGCGCATCTTTTCCTTCCAGGGCTGGAAGTTCGACCAACTGGAACTTGGTTTTGACGTAGTACGTGTATTGTGTATATGCGATTTCAAAATACTGTTCCCAGAGGCCCATGCGGAGGGATCTTCCGTGAATTCCTCGAGAATCGATGTCGAAGCACCAGCTTTCTCCAAGTTCAGTTTCAATGTCATGAAACCAAATAAAGGATGACTCATGAGAAATGAAGTACCGGCAGCTTGAAATATCTTCATGCGGATGCCGGTAGGAAGAGGGCTGACGAACCACTCATCCAGATCTCTTGGTAAGCGAACTATAGCATCCGGTTGTGGTAGCTCAGACACTACAGGACTCCCAGAGACTTCTGATGGAGCGCCCGTTACTGTAACGACATCTTCGGGGGGGTTAGAATCATCGAGCTGTGGTGGCGCAGGCGTTGCGGTATTCTCAGAAGTGTCTGGCGGTGCGTCAGTTGAGACATTCGCTGGAACAGCCTCTGTCGAGATATCAGGATTGGTAGCTGGCGCTCCACATGGCAGTGGCGCGATCTCTAGCGGCGGTTCAGATGCTGTAGTACTCTCATGGACACCTCGTGTTGCGTCCGTTGAGACTTCTACTGAAACGATTGCTTCTGTTAGGTCAGAGCCGGCGACTGGCGTTGCACACAAAATCGTTTCCACCTCGAGTGGTAATTGTGTGGACATTTCCACATCGCTCTTAGTTTCTGGAGAATTCTGTGCGACCAGTTGCTTGTTCTGTGCGTGTTCAGACCTTTCCTGACCAGACAGGATTCTGGTCAGTTCGGCCAGGTCATTGGCGAGTTGGTGAAGGACTTGCTCCAACGGAGCAGGCTGTACTGATGCCATCGCATAAGCGTCGGAATGCTCACGTGTGCAATGTGAGCAAGAGAGAAACAGGACTGGAAATTGGCCGTCTATTATGTACATATAAATAATCAAATGAAACAGCAAGCGAGGATTCTCTGTTGCCGCAATTTGTGCATTTCATTGGACCTGGCTTTATCATTTGTCAACGTTTCCAGCTGAGTTGTGTCAAGCTGCACCCCGGAAGTACGATCTCAGCTTGGCTTGGAGCCGACCTCTAGTCGATGACCTATCGCTTAGCCTGAACGTCTCATTGGGTAAAGACCGTCGTGGTGGAACAAGAAGATGCGCATTTCACATAAGCTTGAACAACTTGCATTTTACTCGCATATTGTTGCGTTGAGGTTCTTCTTTTGGCGCAGCCATTTTGTGCCACACATGGTTAGTGCTAGGTAATCTCGTATTCTAGCCTTGCCTGCATCGAGTTCGCTGTCGCACAAGACCACTGAGCTGAGCCTCGAGTCTAACGCGGAAGGCTGGGTTAAGAGGTGGGTGTCCAGTCGGTTTCTACAGCCTGGTCGGGGGATCAGCCCCTTCGAGCTTACTCAGTTAATACACATATGAGTCTGAACAAGATTCTTCTGAGGAAGTTGATGCTAGGCTCGGGGAAGGTTCGGGAAGATGATCGAACGGTCCACCTGCTAGGTGTGCCAAGAGTGGGATATTAATAAGGTATAAAATTATGCTACTAGGGTATCCTCAGAATCAATATGTAATGATCGCAATGCAGTAAGTCACGATTCGGTTGTGCAGCAGAATCTGACCGTAGACGCGTTCACTTCGCAACCTCAGGCTCTGGAGACCCAACATGACGCTCCGAGGGAACAGACTCGCCATAAGGTCTGCGGAAGAACACATTCCTTTCCCAGCCATCAATCTCATCGACAACAGTCTCGCGAACCAACTCGTACTTGCCAATCTTGGGCAGGATCTTGGCCCAGACAACCCAGTAGAGACCACCAGCCACGATGATAGCGATACCGACAACGCAGTGAAGGTAGTAGGGTAGGCTCTCATAAACGTTCTGGCCCTCTTCGGGGGGCACAAAAGGTGCGATGACGAGGTAGATGTTGCTAAGCATGAAGAAGATGACTACGGGCAGGCTGGCGCTGATGGGAGGGTTCCAGTTCCATTCCTTGCGGTTGAGGTACAGGTAGGCAAGACCGCCAGCGACGAAGACGTTGATGATGGCGAGGGGATAGCTGATGAGGTTGAGGATGAAGTTGTACGCATCGCCTATAGGTATGTTAGTATGTATGCATCATGACAGAGCTCGGTTGAGTTTTTCTTACCAGGAGGGGGAGCAAGCATCGTGATGACGCAAATAAGCCAATGCTCAAAGAGACCAGCCAAGGGGGCGTTCAAGGGTCTGTTGCTGGCGAAAAAACGCGACCAGGGCAGAATACCCTCGCGACCGAGCTCCTGGACGAGACGGCCCTGGGAGAAGATGACACTGAGAACGTTGCCAAAGGCGGACAGGGCGACGAAGACTGAAAGAGCACGCTCGGCAGTGCCGCCCATTACATTGCGGAAAAGGGACGCCGCCACAAGGCGACCACCCTCAAGGATTTCCTCTCTCGGGACAGCGGCAAAGTAGGCGACGTTAACCAGCATGTAAAGGATGGAGATGGTGATGATACCGACGGGCGCGGCGATCTTGAGGGTACGGACGGGGTTCTTGGTCTCGCTGAGGGCATAGTTGGCATTGCTGTATCCAATGTAACTCCAGATGACGTTGTAAAGAGCAGTGACGACACCGTAGGGGCTACCGGTGGTTCCCTCGAATGCGTTTTGGAAGTTCTTGGGCTTTTGTTCTTCGGGTAGCTTGACGTGGCCACCGAGAGCAATGAAGCCGCAAAGAATGATGATGACAATAATGAACAGCTTAATAGTTCCGAGAAGGTTCTGCAGGCGCAGACCCCAGTTGAGGGCGAGACCGTGGATCAAGAAGGCGGTGGTGATGCAAGCCAGGCCGATGGCGCGCTGGTTCCAGCGGTCGACCTCGACCTCGGCGGCGTGCAGAATGTATTCGCCAAAGACGACAGAGTTACCACTAGCCCAGCCGAGCAGGATGACGTATCCGGTGTAGAGACCCGTGGTGAGGAACTTGGGCTTGCGGAAGACGTATTCGAGGTAGTTCTTTTCTCCTCCGTTCTTGGGGATTGCGGTGCCCCATTCGAGATAAACCGCGGTACCGGCGAGGGCGATGATCATGCCGGCAACCCAGATAAAGAGTGAAAGGCCGACACTGCCAGAGAGCGCAAAGATGGTGCCGGGTGTCGCAAAGATACCGGTGCCGACAACACGGTTGACGATGAGGAAGATGGCAGTGGTGACACCGATTTTTCGCTTGTTTTCGCGGGCGTGCTCGATGCGGCCTGGGATGATTGATTAGCAAGTTGACGGTTGTGCGGCAGAGCTCGGTCAACGGAGTGCGCTCCGCAACCATCATCATGAAGAAGACTCACCAACTTCGCTGTCGTAGGTCGTCGCTGCTGGGAGATCGCCATGCTTTCTGTGGTCACCGTCGGCGGCAGTGGCCGACGACGAGGCGCCAAACTTGTTCAAAAACTTGGACATCTTGACGATGTGATGATGGTGAACTGATCCTGTCGTCGTGGGTGTAAACGATCAGAGACCAGGAAAGGACACCAGATGGAGACGGAAGACTGGAGAACGGAAGACGATCCGAAAGAACTACGAAACTAGAAGGTTGACAGAAGACTTTATGTCTGTGGCAGAGCAGGCCCCGCCAAGGAGATCACGTCTTATTTACACCGAATTGGCTCCATGTGGCGAGAGGTTCGTCTGGGTGGAATCGGCTTGTCGTCTTGGGGGTGAGCAGTCGAGGTTGCGCCGCATTAGTAGGCACCCTTGCACATACGAACGAATAGAGCCAAAAACCAAAAAGTCCCAAAGGTCACCGTCCCGACATACAAGGATTAGGAGGCTCTGGAGACTCGAGAGTCTAACCGTCAGTGGTGCGCCGAGAGTATCCGCATGCGAGATTTACCTGCGAGAGACCATGGATGATGGAGCTGCGAGCATCTGGAGCTTCTTAGAAGGCTTCTTGGAGTCTTCGAGTCCCTCTTTGGACCCCCAACATGGCCCCCAAGATCCTAGCTCTTATTCTCGAACTGTCAGGGTACAAGCACAAGGGATTTCCATCCCGCAGTCCCAGTGGTCTGGTGCGAAAAGTTCTGTGTCATAGTTTCTGTTTGTGGTCCACTCGGCCGATGACGCGATCTGAGGACAAGATGTCGAAGACTCGAAGTGGGAAAATTTTGGCGTTAGGACCCGGTTTTATCCCGTGGGGCATCGATTGAGCTTTGCGGGCGACACGCCCACGACGTCTTATGTAACAAAGGAACACCATGACTTCTTCCAATTCAGTGTGAATGAAGGCTTCATCGTTGAAATAGTGGCGAGACTATCAGATATACTCCGAAAGGTACCATCTGATGAGAATCACCCGAATTTTGGTGAAGTATGTATAACTCCAAACTGACCTGTACAACACAGTCATGAACCTCGTCTCACCTATGACCTCGATAGTAATTGCTGCCTCATTCTCATATCCTTGCCCGTGTACTTTGTGTCGCACTTTCCTCCGCTCAAATGCGTACAACTTGTAGTTGATTCAAAAGAGAAAGTGTCTGTTGCCCCAGTTGCCGATTATGCTCAAGCTTGGTGGTGTCTGACTGGGCAAGGCGATGATCCTTCACTTGGGACAAGCTGCATCTCGACTTCACCTGCCCTGGCAAACTTCAAAGATTCTTGCCATCTATCGACAATTACGGCCAAACAAAGGCGCTTGCCTCGTTGTAAGTGCGCATTTCCAGAGTCACATGGCGTTAGGACTTGTTCAACATCTTGCTTTGCTCTTGCCCTCTATGCCTTGATGAACACACCACGCACCACGCGGCCTTCTCACGACATGCTGTGAGAGTTCTCGTGTTATCCTGCTGCAATATGATCTGACCTTCCGGGTGAGCAAATTTCATAATCACCTCTGGATCGTCCATTGGACTCAATAGCAGCTGTGAGCTGCAGTCCCGTACGTGAGATCTGTTGCCGATGGTGCAACCATGGCAAGGTCTGGGCACCCTTCCATCGGTTGTAACCGAGTTCCAGGCTGCATCTCAGACAAGGGATATGATCCTCATCCCGCGCAGAGTTTGCATGACACTCAGGGGTTAGACGCACTTGCGGACTCGCCAGGCAGCATCATCTCATGGCGAGACTGGATTTCAACTTTTGCCGGGAGCGACGGGGAACTTCAACAAATCAGCACCTCGCTGATCTTCAGCTGAAAAAGTTTGCTTCACAAAAGTCCCCAAAGGTGTCTTGTCCCTCGGGGAAAAAGACGAGACGGGTAAGCATATTGAACCGAAGTCTTGGTTCCTTCCTCATGCGAAGGCTGGGCGCAATGAAGCCATCCTAGCCACCATCGCGTGATAGTGCCAATGAGCCGCGGCCAAGCGAGGTAGGTGAGACTCGGGACCTTTGCCTCGTTCACCCAAGCACGAGCCTCCTGATTACTCATTTTGGAACATAAGTAATGAAGACCCTCTCACCAGAGTTGCTGTTCCAACATCAACTGTGTGTCACTATGGCTGCATCGCGAGGGATGGCAAGCCGGTAGAAAAGCGACTCGTACGTGGCACATAAAGCACATCCAACTGTTAATGATAGGCACACTCGATCAATTTGGTCCTCATTTGTGTAAGTAAAGAGGAGGCATTAATCGGCCGAGGGAGACTTATGAGGGGATTGAGCTGCGGGCTTTGAGTCCAGTTTCGCTATTTTTCATCGAGTGTTAGTCAGCGACGCAGGGAGATGAACCCTGATGCAAAGGAGGCGTCATGTCCACGCTTGCCCATCAATGGCATCCGGTCGGGAAACAAGGAATCCGTGGATTGCCAAGCATCCCTTCTTGGCCAACTCTTGCCAGAAGTAAGGTAGTATGATGAGATTTTAGATATCCAGCGAAGTGAATCCGATCTTAAAGGGCCCTCCTAATACCCCATTCTGCCCAATGCTATTTGAGTCCTTTCCAAAGGTAGAGAACAAGGGCCAAGATAAGATGCCGTACCCCGCACTATCATTTGTTCCGGGGGGGCGTCCTGATAGCTCAAGATATTAGCCGACACATTCGGCCTACGATATGTTTGCCCGCAGAAGACATGCATTTCCCCGATAACCCCTCTGAGTTCCAATCTTCTGGGTAAAGTGCTGCATCTTGCCCCTGTTTAGTGCCAATGAACCAGGCTGTACGTCCTTTTAGGTTGAGGAAGCATGCCGGGGCGTTGCCGCGGACCGGACCGCTCACGCTTTCAACCGCCGATCCTGCGGAGGTCTCATCCCAACGATCTGCCACGCGATACTGGGGAAGCTTCCTTGGTGGATCAATGGACATGTATAAAGAATGCCGTCTTCATGAAAGGGGTTACATGTCCGATTTCCCCTATTGTTCCCCACGTGTGTTGCAGGTAGCAAAACCAAGGAATGGCGATGGCATTGATAGTTGGAGAGACCATGAGGACTCACTTCATCTGCAATATCGCTGTGGCCACCGTCTATGGCCGATCGCACCAACGAAAGCTTGATCATGAACCCTCCCTCACACTCTCACTAAGCCAGCCACATAACTTCGCACAATGACAATGGGGAGGTGTGTCCGTCCGTTAGTAGTTGTATAGCCGGTTGACCAGATGGGGACAATGACGCAGAGGATTGACTAGGGTCCTCCGATCATCGGAGACTGACCAGCGGACGACTCCCTAAGGTGTGGACGGACAGCGGATACACAACGCGGCATGCGGAGAAGTCTCCGCGCCCGCATCGCTTGGCGGCTGTTTGACTCAATAGGTCGTTGGCAAAAGCGATTGATCTAAAGCGCCGTTGCGTCCCATCGCGTGAAGTGAGTTTTCCACAGCGTTATCTTTGCCTTGCTCGATGGTAACCATCGCAGTCACCGACGCAGATGGCTTAGGATGCGACCTCACTCAACCATGGGTCAAGTCCCTCTGCCTCTGGATGGCATCTCCACTGGCGACTCAGACATTGAACGGTCCAACATAACCGAGGTTACGAACATTAACCATGTCAAGGGGAAATCAAATCCTGCCGCGCTTGGAGAGTCAACCACAGTCATAGCAGATGGGATTGATATCCCTCTCAACATCGATGCGCTAGATCCGGCATTCCAGCTCTCAGAATGTTTGCGATCACACGGTATCGAAGGCCTCCTCGAGGAGGACTACCCATCATCCCTCGATACGAGATACCAATCACCATTTGCATGGCCATTACGAAAGAAGATCACGGTGCTCTTTGGGACCTTCTTCGCCTCGACCCTAGCCGCCTACTCTGCCGGCGCTTATGCCATGGCCGCTGCCCCCCTGGTTGAGAAATGGCGTCTCACGAACACCCAATTCAACCTAGGCATCACCCTCTTCGTCTTGGGTTTCGGCTTCGCGCCCATGATACTAGCCTTGATCAGCGAGATCTACGGCCGCTACTGGGTCTTTGTCGGTTCAGGTGCCGTATTTTTCCTGGGAACCCTGGGCTGCGCGGTGACACAGTCGTTTCCTGGCATGTTGGTCTCTCGTCTGATTACAGGCAACGGGGCATCAGTCTTTGCGACGCTGACCGGGGGCGTGGTGGGAGACGTATTCCACAAGGAGAATCGCAACACGCCCATGGCCCTTTACTCGCTCACGATCATGATTGGAACCGGGTTGGGTCCCATGATCAGCGGTATAATCGTTGACAACCTCCATTGGAGATGGATCTTTTACGTGCAGATGATCACTGTCAGTTCTACCACGTTAGCCATCTTCATCTTCTTCGCCGAGACGCGGAGTAATGTTGTACTTGAGCGGAAGTGCGTAACTCTCAACAAACATTTCGACGGTATTCGCCTGCAGCGGGTCTCGTCGCCGATTGGGGACAAGACTGGATTGCGGCAAGGCACCGAGCAGCTTGGCGAGGGCCAGTCGCATTCTGTTCGTGTCCAGTTCCGCGCCCATTTTGAGGGTCCTGAGCTTGATATGAGTATCCTTTGGCGGAGCTTCTCCTTCCCCCTGAAACTTCTTTGCACCGAATCCGTCGTCTTTTGGTTCTCCGCCTGGGTTTCATTCGCGTGGGCGATCCTATACATGCAGTTCAACAGTATCGGTCTGGCATTCCGCTCCGTGTATGGCTTCAACAGCAGTCAGGTAGGAGGTATCTACACTTCAGTCATTGTTGGATCGGTAATCGGGGCGGTGATTACAATCTTCCAGGAGCCGATCTTCAAGAAGTTCATGCCTCAACGGATGGCAACGCCGGAAGGAAGACTCTATTCTGCATGTGTTGAGTCACTCTTCCTGCCGATCGGGCTGTTTTGGTTTGGCTGGAGCTCGTCTCCCAACGTACCTTGGATTGTGCCCGCACTCGCAATCACCTCCGTGACGGTTGGCATATTCACCATCTATCTGGCTGTCTTCAACTATCTGGCGGACACCTACCACCGATATGCCTCCTCCGCTCTAGCAGCACAGTCTATGTGCCGGAATCTGCTTGCCGGAGTGTTCCCTTTGTTTACAAACATCATGTTTCAGAGGCTTGGGTACGGTGTTGCGGGAAGTCTACTAGGTGGCATTGGTTTGCTTCTTTCGCTTGTCCCTTGGTTGCTGTGTATCTATGGGGAGAAAATCAGGGGTCGCAGTCCTTTTGCCGGGCAACTCAAAGCAGGTTGAAGTTTATGTTGATGTTACGCCAGATGCCAGAGAGTTTCATGCGTAGGCAAAGCAATGATGATGACCCTTCTTAGAATTAGAAACGGTTTCCAGTATAGTCAACAAGCCATCGCTCCGTATGACACTCTTAACATCGTTGGTTCAGATGTGCCCGAACCTCGACCCCGGATTCATGGTCATTATGTAAATGAACCTCATGAATCAGGCACTTTGACATGACTTCTCTGTGTATATCTTTGATCGGCTGATACAATAGCATCTTTTGCACCCAATATGGTTGATGTTACGTTGGTGTCATGGTGCTGAGTAACAGCCTTACAGGCAGCAGTGCTTCAAGGGAGTGTGAGTAAGCACCGTACGCTTAGTCGCTCGGAACAGATGTTCTAGTCGGACTATGGCCCTGAACTTATGGGTCTCGGAGATATTGCTGTTAGTAATGAGATCAATTGCCTGCTTCGAGTAAGCAAGATATTGGAGACTTATGCCTGTGAAGGGCGGAACTCCGCTGCTTCCTCCTTCTCTTCGAGTCTGATGCGGATTCCACTCCACTAGTGGTTCGTCTAGGTATCGTCAGTCAGACGTTCCCGCTCAATGCGACTAGAGATATGTATTGGGGTATTTCAGAACTACCTGCCTAAGTTGACCAGCGCGTAGAAGACTATAAATCCCACGAATACTAGACATCAACATCAACCTTGCGGTCAGACTTTCGCACAATCCTCAAATAGTCGAGGACAAGATCCAATATTCACAATGGTAAATTTATCGAAGTAGCAAATCTTGATGAAATCCGCATACTGACTGCATCCACCTCAGGTTCAACTCACTCAAATCATAACTGGCCTCGTCTTGGTCCTCGGAGCGCAAGCTGCCGCTACGCCCGCCACACTGCAGAAGCGCGACACTGTTAGTCTCGGCGTCTTCCACGACGGAGGCTGTGCTGGCAGTTATACCAACAATTTTGACGTCTCCTCTGGCCGGTGCCAAGACTTTTCGGGAAATGTCTACGGGGCATTATTCGCAAACAGAGGCGGGAACGTCTGCAAGCTCAAGTTCTGGGCAAATGCCGGGTGCAGTGGAAAGGCGACGGTCAGCACGGTCAACTCATACGAAGACCATTCTTGCGTTCCTGTTGCCAACAAGGACGGACAGTTCTACTTGACCGATGGAGCACGGTCTGTGTACATCACTTGCTGATTACTCCGTGCTATTCGATCCGTCGTTGAATAAAGAATTTCTTGGGTATCTTTCGCTCGTAAAACATAACTCAGTTGCCAGCTCCCCTTTGTTCGTCCCCTACTATTCAAAAAGGCATCCGTTCCGCCCATAAGCCTGCAAATCGACCAGAGATTTTGAAATGGATTCAATCCGATCTTTCGCGGTCAATGTCCAGAGTGGTCGGTGCCAGAGAAAGCTCCTGCGATTGCGGCATAACCTTGACCGATATCAGCGCTGACGCTGTGATGAGAAGATGATCCGCTTCCCACTGAGACGGCACTATCCGACCCAGAAGGCTTCAGCGACTCTCTGTTTGACTCTTGTGACGTCTTTTGTTGTTGGCGGATAGAGCTGCTCTCGATGCCCTTTCGTTCATCCTCGTCGAGGTCTTTGAAGACTGGGTCGTCGGCTGACAGAGCTCTCGGTCTCCCGACCCAGCTTTGGGAAGGCGCTTGTCTTGGCTTGAAAGGATTGCGCATGGTGTATTTATTATGTAACACAGAATGTCTCGATTTGTCGTGATGTTTCCGGGTTTAATGTCGATGACGGATCTTTGCGAAGACGGTCAACTTGTGTAGGTATGATGGTTTGTGTGTGTACGGACGTTGAGATATTGAAAGTATCAAACAAGAACCATGCAAAAGCTGGGGAAGATGGCGCGCACAAGCTTAAGTAGAAAGCTGCGCGACGGAGCCAAATACTCCCGAGTGCTGCGCCGCGCGCGTTGAGCTGCTATCGGGGAGGCCTACGGTGAGCATTTAGGCTGACACCGAAGGAGGCAGGAGGGGCGGAGTTGCTGTCCTCGTGGTTCCCAAGCCACGGTGATGCTTGTCTTACTAGCCAATCAGGACTGGTAACATTTGGTCGTGTTGAGTTTAAGCACTGGAACGAGGATGGTCCCCTGCCATGTCAGCCGAGCTGAGCCTAGCCTTGACGCTATCACCCCAGAATAACCGCCCGAGTGGTCTGGTAGACTGGTAGCGATAGCGAAGGCCGGCGGAGCCCTTGTGCTTAAATCGCAAACAGAGACAACTTTCATTCTGGTGTAGGGCTGATTGAGGGGGTGGGTTCATCGAAGGACCGAGGATCCGAGTTCTTGGAACGTAAGCAGCTGTTCAAGGCTATAATCAAACTTATAGCTTCATTGGCAGCTTCGCTAAACTGCCTACTACTTGCTATCATGCACCGTATGGCATGTCACCTGTGTGGCGCAAACTCCGTGAAATACGGCACCTAGGGGCACGGGATAACCTTTGTGCCATCCGAGGGACAGTACCCGGCCCAGTATGATCGCGTCGCCTTCTCGCAATTGTCTGGATCAGTCACGTCGCTAGCACCGAGGAATTAGGTTCAGTCAATAGATTAAAGTGTTCAGAGGATCCGCATACCGGTCAACCTGCAGATAACACCAGTTAAGCGTATCAAGAGTCTGAGATGACTGGCCTTTGGTCACAAAGACGAGGGCGTTCACATCCTAGGCAGTGTACGCGTTAGCGAGCTGGCGTTCGACAGATCGAATGGATGGTTTCTCACCTCGGTTTGATAGCAGCAAGTGTTGTCCTGTCTTGTTTCCAAGGCGACAGGGCTGGCCATGGCCATCACAGGCGCGGAAAGGAGGGCAACCTTAGAGAAGTGCATTGCAGGCAAGATGGGTCAAAAGATGTACGAGAAACTCTCCATGACGCAAAGGTATTATTTCAGAGCGACCCTTGACGGCTTTAATACCTGAACCATTCTACCATCGCTCGCGGAGAGCGCAAGGAAACCGTCCAACCTCGGCGCCAAGAGCCGGGAATAAAGAGTGCACTGATTGGGTTTCGTGGATGTGTTTTTGCCGTTCATCCAGGGACATTTTAATGAAATAGCGAATCATGCGAGACTGTTGTGATTAAGGTTCGGGTAAGGTCCAACGACGTGAACCATATAATTAATTACAGGCGGGGAAATAGCGAAGCGACCTTATGCAGGCCCTTAAGCGATGCTCCCACCAAGAGTTACGATAAACTGTCCCGGCACTCTGACTCCTGGTTGAGATGATCGATGCCCAGCAATGGATTAGAGGCTTGATTACAGATGCTGACAGGTAATGACTTGAAACCTTCAGCCGATAAACCCAAGTGAATCTAATGCTTGGCTACACACGCGGGCATTCAGAGATCCTTGATTCCCCGGTTCTTAAGTGCACATGATTTCTCTTGACCCCGCAACAGTAGGGGGGAAGCTGCAGTGGACACTAGCACTCCTCGCAGCTTTACAGCGTAAGTAGGTAGAATGATGCGCTTTTGGCCCTTCTTGTCTTTGCTTGTCTTCAGCCCGTCTACATTCTCGATGTAATGAAAGGTACGTTAATTAGTATCCCCAATATCCCTTGACCAAGAAGGCCCCGTAGCCCGCCAAAGCACCGAGAATACCGATGCTGCCGAAATAGCCGATGGGTCTGCCTTTGCCCATGCCTTCGGGCTTCATAATTCCAAGCTCGGCATGCAGCACACGGAGGGCAAAGAAGCTCCCGAGCAGCCAGCTCAGTGTCTTGCGGTTGCCTCCATTGACCTCGATCAGTGAAGCGAGGATGAAAGCAAGCGGCACATTTTCGATGTAATTGACATGCGATCGGCCGGCAAGGTAAAGTGCATTGGCCTTGTATGATTCGGGGTCCGCTCCAGGGTTTGAGGAGTTGTCGCCCAAGTATTGCTTTGATTTCAGACGCTCGTTGACGACACGAAGGCTAAGGAATGCGTAGTAGATCGTGAATGGGAGCGCGAACGTGCCCGTAACAGCTACCCGAAGATGCAAGTTAGCTCTTAGGCAAACATATCTGAGGCTAAAATTCGGTGTCTAGCACATACGCAGTAGCCTGGGAATCGTTGTCAGTCCAATTGGTTGGCTCATTGTTGCGATTGATATGAGGTTCGTGATAGGAACAATTGAGAAGAACTCTATCCAACTTTCAAAAAAATCGAATGATGAAAGGCTGGTAGCGCACCTGAGGAAACCTCGAGGATATGTAGCTCGAGGCGGGTGCCCGGTCGCAATGACGATGAAGTGCCGCTAGTGCCGTTACTCTGGCTCTCTTGACATCATGCATTCAAGACTCACCCCGTTCTAGGACAGGCGCCAAACTACGAAAGAGCCGTCTCCACGTTCAAGGGTCCAAGTTATGACAATTGTGCTTTCTGGGACCACGGAGCTATTCTTCTTGGGAATTTCGATTTGAAATACCTAACGGCACTCCTGATTCGAGTGTGATCGCCGATACCCTACTCCTGAGCACTAAGGCAATTAAGACGTTCGGGGACCATCAAGAGCATGCTCACCACTATGCAAACAACGTGCTTTCTCCGAAGGTTTACTGTAATCAGACACGAAATCCAGCCAATGTCTATTTATTTCTACTGGGAATGTATGGTAGATGTCTCACTTGGCTGCTCGTTGACGGCTACAATGATACGTACGCTAGACCTTAAAAAGTTCGGCTATCATTCCTCACAAGATAATCGCGTCGGGAGTTTATATATAGATCATTGATCGTGTCCAATTTCTCTATAGAAAATAGTACCTAAGGAGTGAATTACCATTATTATGCCAAGCCCAGTCACTGGCGTACATCCTTGTCAGTCGTGACTCCCAAGGAAGGTTCCATATGCTGTGTCTGCGTTCAACTCCAACCCATGCGTTCATGCACCATTTTCTCCGGTCCCAAATCGTCGAAGAAATCACAAACTCCAGAAAATGCGAGAGTCCCAATAAGTGATGAGAAAGGCTAAGAGCAGGTGACCTTGAAGCTCAAGAAGTTGTCGGCGATAACGCTCCACTCCTCGCAAGTCTGGACGCCGACTTGGCGACCTCCCTCTCCACAATCGGCTGTAGGGTAGGCAATCACTTGGCCAGCCAGTATTAGCCATTTGTCTCAAGAAACAGGGTATTAGGGTCTTACTCTCACAGCCCTCTGTAAGGCTGCTGAGGCGAATGGCCTTAACGACATTGTCCGGTGCGTTGAACGTTGTTTGGCACACATCGGTTTGCGACTTTGTGATGGTCCAGACGCCGAGGTTACCGGCAGCTCCGCATCCCTGTTCGCTCCAGATCCGGAAGTCGGTGATGTGGGGGTCTTGACGGGGCACGGCACCGGCCTCGGCTCCGAGGAACAGGGCCGCTGCGGTTGCGATGATGGTTGAAAAATGCATGATGGAATGGATGAAGAGGGATTTGGTTTTTTTGAGGGGGTGCAAGGGGTCTTGAATGTACTGTAGCTGGAAGAGGAACAGAGTTCGGGTATGCAGCGTTGAGGTCTGTTTTTGTTGGTGTAATTGGAGTTTGGACGGTCCGAGGGCTGAGAGTGGTTGGAATGATGAGGAGATGAGAATCGGAAGAATGGGAGAGGACAGCTCACCTGGATTTATACCAATTCTGAACACGTCTGAACTTCTTGATGCCCTTCACAAAATTTGTTGGTCTGGCGTATCTCCGTGATCATGCGTTTGCTTTCCTGCATCGGCCAACCCTGACGACGAGTGTGCTCTTCCGGGAATACGAACGATCAACATGACGAAGACTTGGGTCTTACATAGGTCTTACTCGTCTGTACGCACCCGAATCCTGCAGCAAACAAAGCTTTCGGACATACGGCCGCGCAGTGTCACCAGCATCCCTCCAGACCGCTTTGTCGGGACTACCGGTCGTGGCTGAGCTCCCCGTATAGTGTTCTTTGAGTGGTATCTTGAGAAACAGAGGACCCTGCTGGTGAGCCATCATCGGGGAAATATGGTCGTTGAGAGGTGATCACCTGCGATTGTCTACTCGTGTTAGTCTCGGGTCTCAAGGAATCTCCTCCCGCCCACGGAGGAACCCCGCAAAGTGAGATTCTTCCGCACTATGATCGGCGTGCTAGGCTCACACGGAAACGTCACTGGCCAGTCACACGTCCATGTCTCCCTTCAAGGCGATCCCTCCGATCCCCGGTTGCGCAAGCCGCAAAGCTT